TAACAGGTAAAGGTCTTATCAGGCCTTAGTGCTTACAAGGCGGATTCTGACTGCCTTAGGTATTGGTTGGTGTTATTACTTCCCAGAAATTCCATTGCCTTTTCTGTCTACCTGCCTGCCTCACTTTGGTTGCTATTTGAAATCTCATAATAATGATTTTCTAATTACCCATTACCTACTACCCACTTTGCTGTCTTTTTAAAATTATTTTCTGCATTTCTTTGCCTTTCACTCGGAAAAGTGATCTTACTCATTTTTTCTGCTCCTCAATTCAGTATTTCTTTGCTTCCCATTCTCTTTCATTTCTTAAAGGGGCCACATAATGGTGCTGAGAGCCTTGGGGCCATTTCCAGCAATAAAGATGTTATCCTTGATGATACAGCCCCAATTTATGCTTAACAGTTTTATCTAACAGTATTTGTAATTTACTAGTGGGCAGTTTGTTCAGCTGAACCTGCAATATCTACAGTTACTGCAAATTTATGTGTCTCAAATATTGATAAAAAAACACTTTATTACCTCCTGGGGACTAATTTGTTGAGATCAGTGCCAAAGAGCTTAGATGATCATAATTCCACTATCTGTGGCATATTATGGCAGAACGATCTTGTTCAGTAAAGACACATTTGTTCCATACATAAACATTTCCATTATTTTTTTCTATTCCATAAAGGAATCATGTAATGTGTTGACAACAAGTTTTAGAGTTGGTCAGCTGAAGCTAAATTCTAGTTTCACTACATTCTAGACTATAACTTCAGGGGTGGGGGTTATAAGGTCATACCCAGCTGTTTTCAAGACTTACTCCTGACTCTGTGTTAGGAATAATGGACCAAGCTGTCTGCAAGGCAAATGCCTTTTCCCCTGAACTAGTGGTTTTAGGACCAACCCTCTGGTCCTAAAATATGACTTTTTGTTGGAGGGCGGGAAAGGGCCTCATACACAGCTATGCTCAGGGCTTAGACCTGGTTCTGTGCTCAGGGATCATTTCCTGGCCATGCTTTAGGAGGTCATAGAGGGATACTGGGATCACACCAAGGCAGGCTGTGTGTTAGGCAGGTGCTACAGCCTAACAAATGTACTATTGCTCCAGCCTCTTAAAGAGTTGACATTAAAAGAATAATGCTGTCAAGTACCTAGCACAGTGCAACGTGGAACACAAAGACCACCATGAATGAATAAAAGCTTTTTTTTCCATAGCAAAGCAGTAGGGTGTTTGCCTTGCGCACAGCCAGCCCAGCCAAGCCAGGTTTGATTCCTCTGCTCCTCTCGGAGAGTCTGGCAAGCTACCGAGAGTATCTAGGCCGCACGACAAAGCCTGGCAAGCTACCCATGACGTATTCAATATGCCAAACACAGTAACAGCAAGTCTCAAAATGGAGACGTTACTGGACCCGCTCAAGCAAAATTTTTGATTTTTTTGCCTCTTGGTCATTCGTGGTAGTGCCCAGGGATTGATTCTGGTTCTGTGCTTAGGAGTCACTCTTTGTGGTATTTAGGGGACCGAGCTGTGTCAGGGATTGACTGGGACTCAGCCCACTGAGCATCTCGCTAGACCACTTTCATTGCTTTAATGATATAGTAGGCATGAGTAATGTGAGCGCTCTGATCCCCTCCACAGAATATATATAACATTATGAAGTCATTAAAAGCTAGTTAAAAATCTACCCAGAAGAAGCTTTTGAAGATTAATCTCCACAATTCTGACCATGTTAATCATTACGTGGGTTCGTGTTGGTCTTTTTAAAATCACTCTGATATTCAGGTAATGATTTCCATTCACTGCAGATACTGTAACTTTGCAATAACTGAACATAATTTTTAGATTACTTAAAAAAAAGCTTTAGAATATAACTCCAGTGTAATAGAAATTAGAGACTTGAATGCATACTAGTCTTTTTGTGTTCACATGAGAAATACTAGATCTGGTGGTGACTCTAGTTAAAGTTCTCTAACTATTTAGATGTATTTTCACATGCATTGAGACTATTACATACCACGGAAATTAAGATTCAAATATTAACAAATTTTCTGTTATGATCCATAAACAGGCACTGAAGGCTAATATGTTGCGAGGACTCATTCATGTAAGTGTAAGTGGAATTAAATAAAATTTAGGCCATTTAAAGTGGCTTTTTTAGGTTCCTTCTTTATTGTATTTTATATACATTTTCCCATGTTCAGAACAAGGAAGTTAGAAACACAAACATCTGGTAGGAAAGGCTTTTGTTTAGTGTTTGAGCCATATTAATCAAGTACTACGTAGTTCGGTGTTTTTTCATTTGGGGGGGCTGGGGGAGCTGGGAAAGAGGGGGCTATCCCGAAAGGCAGAAAGGTTACAACAGCCTGGCGATCAACAGTTGCATTTGGCAACACGTTGGAGCTTGTCCTTCTTGATAGCAGACGAACTGGAAGGCCCTTTGGCTGCACCGATGGGCTCGCCAGCCAGGCACTCACAAATCGTGATGTTCTGGAAGGCAGCCTCAAGGCACCCGCGCACAGCAGCCAGATGGCCCGATTCACTCTGCAACCGGACACATCCACGGCCTGACGCCTCACTGCTCCAGCTCTTCCAGTTCGCGTGGAGGCCTCCCTGGGCCGCTGTTGCTGATGGCATTCACTAGACCCGTGGAGGGCTCCCCCGGTGAGCAGATGGAGGATCTGCAAGGCATGCTTGAAGATGTGGACAGTCAGGACCTTCTTATTGGGGTTGCTGCTGTGTATCGTCATCACGAGGCTCCAGGAGGGAGCACTGAGCCTTGTGGAAGCGCTGGGCAGCATAGCACCTGTGCTGTGGGGCAGGGACTTGCAGAAAGGTTATTTATTTATTTATTTTGCTTTTTGGGTCACACCCAGTGTTGCACAGGGTTTCTCCTGGCTCGTGCACTCAGGAATTACTCCTAGCGGTGCTTGGGGGACCGAACCCGGGTCGTCCGCGTGCAAGGCAAACACCCTACCCACTGTGCTATTGCTCCAGCCTCAGGAAAGGTCATTTATCTGCACGTTGTCATTGCTCCACTTCCAGAAGAGCTTGAAGTCAGGCGTCTTTGCCACTGCAGGTGCAGCTGTCTCTCTCTCTGTCGTCCTGAAGACAGAGGCCGGGCATCTTTAACGCTTGGTAATGATCACGTGTTGCCCTGGCACAGATAAGAAACGGAGTTTGCCCCCTTCTTTTAAAAGGCGAGTGTGTATGTTTCCAGATGCTTCCTTTAACATGAAAATGACCGGGACCTTTATAAATTCCGTTATAAATAAAACGAGTTTATTTTTATTATTTATCTATTTATTTTTTGGGTGATCACACCTGGTAGTGCTCAGGGTTCACTCAAATCTCTTCAGTTAGGGATCACCACTAACTGGCTCAGGCTCAGGAGACTATATGGGGTGCCAGGGATTGAGCCTTGGTCGTAAGCATGGAAGGTATGCACCGTTCCCGAATTCTCGCTCTCCCCAGCCTAGAACAAAACTTACTCTTGATTTTTGTTCTATAATCATCTCTCTCTGTGTCTTTTTTTTGGTTATGGTACTTCCAATGCCTGGAACAAATATATATATTAACTAATATATATAATATATATATTTTAAAGTATCAGTACTGCTATTTATTCAGCCACTGATTAAGTTAATTGAAGGGCATGAACTCATTACCACTGTACCACTGTCATCCCATTGTTTGTTGAATTTACTCGAGCGGGCACCAGTAACCTCTCTATTTGTCCCAGCCCTGAGCTTTTAGCAGCCTCTCCTTACTCGTCTTTCCCAATGATTGGAGGCTCTTTCAGGGTCAGGGGAATGAGATCTGTTATAGTTACTTATTTTGGCATATCAAATATGCCACGGGGATCTTGCCAGGCTCTGCCCCTGTGGACGGGATACTCTCAGTAGCTTGCTGGGCTTTCCAAGAGGCATATATATATATAACATATATATATACATATATATTTCTCTCTGATTTGTTGCCTACTGTCTGAACCCCATCAAACATGGTGTGCTAATTATGGAAAATGGGTAGGAAGTGTCTTATGATGTGTCCGAAAAGCAGCCTGGATCGTGGCAGCAATTGGGTAGTGAGGTCCACTGCCTGGGCCGGGTTCACCGGGCTGGGGAGGGCTCTTACCCAACCCCCTCTGGGGCACCCCAAGTGAAAACAGCCTGGTGTGGGGTCCACATTATTGTTTAACATTTTTTAAATTGAGGGGCCAGAGCGACAGCACAGCCGGTAGGGCGTTTGGCTAGCACATGGCCAACCCAGGTTCGATCCCTAGCATCCCATATGGTCCCCCAAGCACCTCCAGGAGTAGTTCCTGAGTGCAGAGCCAGGAGTAAACCCTGAGCATTGCTGGGTGTGACCCAAAAAGCAAAAAACCAAAAAAAAAAAAAAAACCAAAAAACCAACAACAATGACAAAAAAAAATTTTTTTTAAATTAAATATTGATAGACCATTACAAGGCTACTTATGATTGGGTTTCAGTCATACAATGGTCCAACACCCATCCTCTCGCCGGTTGTACATTTCCCACCACCAATGCCCCCTGTTTCCCTCCTACCATCCCCCAGCACGCCTCCTCCTCCACCCCCTCTTTGGGAGGCACTTGGAACTAATACCTTGTCCCTCCCATGGGTCTGAGTTCCAGACTGCCGGGGAGTTCTCCTCCCGCCCGCCTCCGAAACCGTCAATTTCCCGCGACCTCGGTAACCTAGCAACTAGGTCGCGCCAGCGGCTGCGGCGCCAGCGGGAGCTGTCCAATCAGCTGTAGCTCTGCGGGAGCTGTCCAATCAGCTGTAGCTCTGCGGGAGCTGTCCAATCAGCTACAGCTGGGGCGGGAGCTGTCATCAGCCGAGCGGCCTCGGCGCAGAGCCTGCCGGGGCGGCTCCGGCGTCGTCTCCATGGCGACCGGCGCGCGCATCGCGGTGGGGTGCGCCATGGCGGATTCGTGCCGCGCGTGGGCCGCGCTCCTGCCGGCCGTGCTCCTGCTGGGCCTCCCTGGCGTGTCGCGGGCCCAGAGCTTCTCCCTCCCGTTCCGGCGCCCGGAGACGTGCGGCCACGGCCAGTACTTCGACATCTCGTCGCTGGCCTGCGCCCCGTGCGGAGCCCACCAGGAGCGGGACGCGCACGGTGAGTGGCGGCTGCGGGGCGCCTGCGGGGGGCTCCTCCTCGGGACGGTTCCGAGGACTGCAGCTGGCATGCAACATGCAAGAGACCCTGGAGAAACCCCCAGGAGTTAGTTGCTCAGCGCCAGCCCTGCATTTCTAATTAGAAGTCTTTAAAAATGTATTTTTTTAAAATTTATTTTTCTTTTCTCTTTTTTCCTTTTTGGGTCACACCCGGCAATGCACAAGGGGTTCCTCCTGGCTCATGCGCTCAGGAATTACCCCTGGCGGTGCTCGGGGGACCCTATGGGATGCTGGGAATCGAACCCGGGTCGGCCGCATGCAAGGCAAACGCCCTACCCGCTGTGCTATTGCTCCAGCCCCAGAAGGAAAGAATTTTTGTTTTGTTTTGTTTTTTTGGGTCGTACCCAAAACACACAAGGGTTACTCCTGGCTCTGCACTCGGGAATCGCTCCTGGTGGTGCTCAGGGGACCATATGGGATGCTGGGATTCGAACCAGGGTCGGCTGCATGCAAGGCAACCGCCCTACCCACTGGATTATTCCTCCGGTCCCTATTAGTCTTTTTTTTTTTATGGGTCACACTTGGCGATGCACAGGGGTTCCTCCTGGCTCTGCACTCAGGAATTACTCCTGACGGTGCTCGGGGGATCCTATGGGATGCTGGGAATCGAACCCGGGTCGACCTTGTGCAAGGCAACCGCCCTACCCGCTGTGCTATGGCTCCAGCCCCTGTCCTGCTGCTTTGAACTTCACTCAGCGAGGTACCCTCCAGTTCCTTCCTGGGAGCCACTGACAGAGCATCCTTCAAGGGAGGTAGCTGCCAAGTGGCTCGTTCTGAAGGTAGCAAAGAAAATAGAGAATTAATCAGAGAGGCAGATAAGCTGGTGACAGGACGGCTTACACAGGTTAGCATTTGGTGACAAGGAGAGCCTTGGATCCAAATCCCAGGAATTTAGAGCTTGGAAGAAACCCTAACCGTGATGAATTTCCACCTTGTCAAGTCCAGATCAGGAAACTGAAGCCCAAGTGGGTGAGGTTTTTAGTATCCTGCTTGTCACGTAAATTGGAGACTGAACAACTTTTGCTTTGTCTTGTCTCCACTTGTGTACTTAGGGTTAGAGTCATAGCACAGCAGGTAAGGCATTTGCTTTGCATGCAGCCAACCTGGGTTCGATTCCTCCGCCCCTCTCTGAGAGCCCCGCAAGCTACCGAGAGTATCCCGCCTACACGACAAAGCCTGGCAAGCTCCCCGTGGTGTATTTGAAATGCCAAGCACAGTAACAAGAAGTCTCACAATTTGTTGTGAGGTGTTACTGGTGCCCGCTGGAGCAAATCGATGGACAGCGCGAGGACAGTACTAAAGTGCAGTTCTTTTGTTTTGTTTTGGGGCCATAACCAGCTGTGATCAGGGTGGTAAGTCCTTGTGGGTTCTGGGGACCATTTGTGGAGCCCAGGATCAAACCCCGGTCCACCATGACCAGGCAAGCTCCCTAGCCATTGTACTATTACTATTCAGTGGGATACTAAAAGCCTCACCCAGTTGAGCTTCAGTTTTCCTATCTAGAAAGTGACAAGGTGGAAATTCATCAGGGTTAGGGTTTCTTCTAACTAACCGTTCTGTTAGGTTTTTTTTTTTCAGAGCTAGTCAGTTGGCGCTTACAGATTGCCCTTAACATGGCTCAATTTTTTTTTTTTCCCTTAAAGTAGGATTCATTTACTCTGTGTGTTTAGTTGGGTGAAATAGATCCAGAAAACTTCCCCATGCGTTAATAACACTGCGTTTTTAATATAGTTCAGAGACCCAAGTTGGGTCTCAGGTGGCTGAGCACATGCCTTGTGCATTTGAACCTAGCTGGCCTAGGTTCCAGCTCCCCATGTCACCCTCCCCAAACACTGCTCTGTGTCACTCTGGTGGCCATAGCAGCAGCAGGTTCAAGCAGTGTTGGAAATTGTCAGAAACTCTCCAGCGGCTGTGACCCTCTCAATAAAATTAGAATGCTTAAACCTCTCTTTCTTGCTCTATGTATATATAGATCTACGTTTAGTTTTTCCCCTGGTTTGTTTGGTTTTTTGTTTGCTTTTTGCATCAGACCCTGTGATGCACAGGGGTTCTTCCCGGCTCTGCACTCAGGAATTACTCCTGGCGGCGCTTGGGGGACCCTATGGGATGCTGGGCATTAAACCCGTGTTGCCCGTGTGCAAGACAAACACCCTCCCCGCTCCGGCCCTTGGTGGTTTTTGTGATGAGCCAGTATAACACAGGAGGTCGTGTGCTTTGTGGCACCAGGGATCTCTGCAGCAGAAGCCGCTGGCATGGTCTTTGAGCATGTGTTCTGGAGTCCTGAGTTTGAATTTGTGAGCTCACTGGCTTCAGGCAAGCCAGGCAGGTGTTCTGTACGCGCTGTCATCCTCAGGCCCCTAGTAGTTTAGTAATTTAATGGTTTAATTAATAATTGTACTTAAAAATGGTATCGAACACAGTATTTACCATTTGCCAGACATATTCTAGTAACTTTTACAAGTAACAATGTTGGAGCTGGAGAGATAGTTTTGAGGGTATTGCCTTGCATGTGGCCAACCCTGTTTGAGTTCTCATTACCACATACGGTCCCCAGGTTGTCCTCACCCTCATCCCCTCCTCCCTAAGCATTGCCAGGAGTTAATCCTGAGCTGATTATTTTTAAATTATGAGAATGAAAGTATAGTGATGAGGGCGTTTGCCTTGCATGCGGCCGACCCGGGTTTGATTTTCGGCATCCCATGTGGTCCCCCAGGCACCTCCAGGAGTAATTCCTGAGTGCAGAGCCAGGAGGAACCCCTGAGTATGGCTGGGTGTGACCCAAAAACTCAAAAAAAATTATGAGTCAAGTTAATTCGATCCCCACATCTACCCCCATCAAAAAAAAAAAAAGCCCCTATTAACCTTAGAAAGTAGTTACTGTCCATTTGCTGAAGGGGACTCTGAGGCACAGAGTTGCTCAAGGACACAGTTCTTCAGAATTAGAATCAGAACTGACGAAGTATGTTTCTGGATTTGAATGCAAGCAGTACTAATTCCAGTTTTGTTCATGATCTTAAGAACTATTAAAATGTTTCTGTCTTGGATCCTTATTTATCAAGGTCAAAATTGGTTCTTTTCATTTTAGGAACTTCGTGTGTGTGTCTGCAAGGATTTCATATGATTGCTAATACTGGAGGACCTGGTATTACTTGCAAAAAATGCCCAGAAAACATGGTATGGAGTATTTATTTTTAAATTTTACAGTAAAACGTAGTAGAATAAGTGGTTCACTCTAATATTTCTTTACAAACTCTGAAATTTTACTAGAGTAAATTTTGGGATATTAGTAAAATCGTGTTCAACTCAGGGAAAAAATGTATTGCTTTATTTAAAAATATAATTGCAGTCCCCGGCCAGAGAGATAGTATAGAGGTGAAGAGCTTGCATGGAGCTGACTCCAGTTCAAGTTCCATCATTGCCTCTGGTCTCCCACATACCGCCAGCGGTCACTCCTGAGCATAGCCCTCAGTGCCACAGGGTCTGGCTTCCAAAAGACAAAACAAAAATGCATAATTCCAAAACACAAAAAGCTGTGGAAATTTGTCGTATATGGAGCAATTTGAGATGTGTGTATTTTTTGGTCTAGATTGAATTCAGTGTCTTAGTTTTATGTAATAATATATGTTCTTAAAGTATCACACTGATTTCACAAAATGCCTGTTGCATATCTGAATATGTTAAATAGTATCAGTTGCTCTTTTGTTAATCAATGCATTATACCCGAACTTTGGGAAATTTATTCAAGTGGTACTGTTTGATTCATGGGAAATCTTGTTCAATTTTTGATGATTAGAAGTCTGTTTGCCATTCCAACTTTTATACTCCTTCTTGTCTTATTAAAAATGAAAACCAGGGGCTGGAGCAATAGCACAGTGGGTAGGGCATTTGCCTTGCATATAGCTGACCCGGGTTCGATTCCCAGCATCCCATAGGGTCCCCTGAGCACCGCCAGGGGTGATTCCTGAGTGCAGAACCAGGAGGAACCCCTGTGCATCTCCAGGTATGACCCAAAAGGCAAAAAAAAAAAAAAATGAAAACCAGGGTTTAGGAAAGTGACTCAAAGGGGTCATGCTTAGGACCCCAGTTGGATCCCCTTGGCCCCTGGGTGTACCCACACCCCACAGCTGAGCAGCGAGCATCAGTCTGGACAGAGTGAGGAGGGCTCAGTACTCCTGGCCATGGGGCCAAGGCTCACTGGCCCTGCTCAGTCTTGCCCCGCAGATATAGACGTGGACTTAGGTGAAATCTAGGAAATTAATATGAAGCGCCAATTTTTTTTTCAACTTTACGTCCAAACACGTACTTGTAGGTTTGATGATTATTTTGATACTTACTCTATAGTTTTGGAAGTATTGACTCAGCTGAGTGATCTCTGGTAGAGAGCTGCTGTTAGGAACAGCTGCCAAACGGCGTTATTTCTCAGTTACATGACTAAGCTATCACAATTAAAAAATAATCTCATGCCCCCAAATACAGTAGTATTTCCTCAGATACCATCTTTTCAGCCACACTTGGAAAAAAATTGTGGCAGCAGTTTTCTTCATATTCTCTATTAATTTTTGGTTACATCCATGTTTGTCCCCATTTTTCCTGAAGCATACAGTAAACATATAGCCAGATTTTAAGTGATGTCATATTTTGCCAGAAATCTTTACTAGCTAGATTTAACCTGATTTGACTGCGTGCAAGGCAAGCCTGCTAATATTATACTATTGCTCTGACCCGCAAAATGTTTATTTATTTGTTGGTTTTTGAGCTACACCTGGTAATTCTAGGACTCACTTCTGGCTCTGGACTCAGGGATCATTTCTGATGGTGCTCTGGGGACCATATGCGGTGCCAGAGATTGAACCCAAGTTGCGTATGTGTAAAGCAAGTGCAAATCAGTACAATCTTGACCCTCAAAACTTTCTTTTTTTAATTTTTGAATTTTAAAATTTTTATGCTAACCACTATATTATTGGGGCTGGAGTGATAGCACAGTGGTAGGGCGTTTGCCTTGCACGCAGCCAACATGACCGACCCGAGTTCGATTCCTCCGCCCCTCTAGGAGAGTATCTCGCCCGCACGGCAGAGCCTGGCAAGCTCCCCGTGACGCATTCGATATGCCAAACACAGTAACAATAAAGTCTCCAATGGAGACGTTAGTGGGCCCACTTGAGCAAATCGATGAACAACGGGAGGACAGTAATACAGTGGTACAGAAATTTTTATTAGTGAAACACCATGAGGTATAGTTGTAGACTTAACAAATTTTTGTGCTTGGGTTTCAATTATACAATGATCGATTACCCATCTCTCCACCAGTGCCCATTTCCCACCACCACGGATCCCAGTATCCCTCCCACCCCCGCATACCCCCATCGCACCTTGCCTCTGTGGCAGGGTATTCCCTTTTGTTCTTTCTCTCTCCTTTTGGGTCCTGTGGTTTGCAAGAGAGGCATTGAGTGGCAATCATGTCCGGTCTATAGTCTACTTTCAGCATGCTTCTCCCATCCTGGGAGGATCCTCCCAACACCTTTCACTTGGTGTTCCCTTCTCTGAGCTGCCTTTTCCCCTAGCATGTGCGACTGGCCTCCAAACCATGGAGCGAATCTCCTGGTACTTATTTCGGCCATTCTTGGGTGTTAGTCTCCTATTTTGTTACTTTATATTCCCCAGATGAATGCAGTCTTTCTATGTCTGTCCCTCTCTGACTCATTTCGCTTAACATGATACTTTCCATGTAGTACCACTTGTATGTAAAATTCATGACTTCATCTTTTCTAACAGCTACACAGTACTGCATTGTATAGATGTGCCAAAGTTTCTTTAACCAGTCATCTGTTCTCGGGCACTCGGGATTTTTCCAGATTTTGGCTGTTGTGAATAGTGCAGCAGTGAACATAGAAGTGCAGATCTCATTTCGACTATACTTTTTTGCCTCTCCGGGATATATTCCCAGAAGTGGTATTACTGGTGGACCCTCAAGTTTCGATTGATATTTATTTTTTTCTTTCTTTCTTTCTTTCTTTCTTTCTTTCTTTTAAATGCACATGGTATCTCATTTATTTATTCTTAAAATTTTTGTTAGTGAAACACTATGAGGTAACAGTTGCAGACTTACGAATTTTTTTGCTTGGGTTTCTCGTTTGATATTTTAAAATTAATTCCTTTGGACTAGGTCCCACTCCGTTTGTCCCAGAGTGGGTGATACCATGCCTGGGAGATCGTGAAATGATTGGGGTGAGGGTGGTAGTACCTGTAGGTGTGTTCATGGCCCTCATTCTGTATTTTCATTTAAAGCAGATTTCCCCGGATGCACTAAATGATTTTATTTATTTAATTAATTTTTTTTTAAAGTGGTTGGGATTTATTTAATTTTATTTTTTGCTTTTTGGGTCATACCCGGCGATGCACAGGAGTTTACTACTGGCTCATGCACTCAGGAATTACTCCTGGCGGTGCTCGGGGAACCATATCAGATGCTGGGAATCGAACCCGGGTTGGCCGCGTGCAAGGCAAATGCCCTACCTGCTGTGCTATTGCTCCAGCCCCTAAGGGATTTTATTTTTTAAAGGGGGTGGTAGGCCAAATAAATTTGGGAAATGACACAGAACTACTATCCAATTAAATTGGTAGTTCTGATTAAATTGATTAAATTCCATTGAATTATCTCACTGTGCGTGTGGAATGGTATTATTTTGAAAATAAGGGCTTATTAGAACTGAAAAATCTTGAGGAAGAAGGACTGAATCATGGCCTGGAGTTACCCGGGGCCTAGAGAGAGCTGAAGTGGTCAGGGGAGCCGAGGTACGCATGAGGGCCTGAGTTCTAGCCCCAGCACCTGTTGCTTCTCTGGTGTTGCTGGATGTCCCTCAGTGAGGTTCCATCTCTGCCAGCTGAAGCCCTGAGCTGAGTCACGCTCACAGAGGGGACCAGGCAGGCCAGGGAGAGCTCCAGAAACTCCTGGGGTTCCACCCTTTCCAGACTTTTGACTGGAAGCTGGGGGCGTCCTCTTCAAATACAGGACCTAGTTAAGACATGCCATCGCATTCTGGACTTAAGCATAATTGACTATCAAGGACTCTTTGCTTTTGTTTGGGGGGGCCACGCCTGGCAATGCTCAGAGGTTGTTCCAGTAGTGTTAGCGGGTCACTGTGCAGGGTGCGGGGGGCCAGGCAGTGCTGCGATGGAGCCTGGGCCCCCTGCATGTCGCGTAGCTACTTCAGACCTTTGAATTCTCTTCCCAGCCCCTCCATGAAACGTTTATGCAACTTGTGTATGGTTCATTTAATATTGACTGTAAATATCCGCTACAGTGGCTTTGGAAATGGGACATTACTTAAAATTTTAAGGAAAACAAAATTTTTTTTTTCAAAATTTAGAAAGGTGTCACCAAAGACGGATGGAACTGCATCACTTGCCCTGGTGATTTAACTGCAGAAGGAAAATGCCAGTGTCCCATTGGCCACATTCTAGGTAAGACATAGGTTCTCAGTGAAATAGCAATGATGAATTTGTTGAGTCACAGTGATGTTTTTGGTAAGGAAGACGTCATTCAGTGAAAGAGCTCGGTGATTCCCCAATATTTGGGGGTGGCATTTAGATTTCTGGGCCACACTGAGGTAAGTTATGAGTATTCCTGACTGTGCCCCAGGGACCATGTGGGGCCTTTCAGTTTATTGAGCTGATTCCATTGCAAGTAAAGGAGTGTCTTAACCCTGTTTGGTTATTTGCTTACTGGTTTGGGGGCCCGCACCTGGCGGTGCTCAGGGCTCCTCCTAGTGGTGCTCAGGGGAATCAAGTATTGAACCTGCTTACCTCACTGACCCTTAACAGTATTTATTTTTTCATTTTCCAAAATTTAATGATAGCATCACAGCATTGGAAAGGGTATAAAAATATCCTACCTGATTTTTTTGTGGGGAGGAGCCCTGAACAAGAGAAACGCCCTAACCATTCTACTAATACTCTGGCCTCTGATTTAAAAAAAAAAATTTTTTTTTTTTTTTTTTTTTTTTTGCTTTTTGGTAACACCTGGCAATGCACAGGGGTTACTCCTGGCTCTGCACTCAGGAATCAGCCCTGTCAGTGCTCAGGGGACCCTATGGGATGCTGGGAATCGAACCTGGGTTGGCCGCGTGCAAGGCAAATGCCCTACCCGCTGTGCTATCTCTCCAGCCTACCTCTAATTTTTTTTAAAAAAATTATCTGAAAAGTAGATAGAAAAAAATTTGAAAGAACAATTCCTTTAGATATTGCACACGTTTTATAGCTGCTTAATAGTATGTGACAGGTACATTGATAACAGAAATGGCTGGATTGGGGTTAAGTGCTCTCTTAAGAGATAAAATCTTTGGGGAATGCTGTATGTTATAAAGGGGGCATTTTATATCAGTGAAGGAAAAACAGATTAATAAACAGTACTGGGAAAGCCTGAAAAACTTAATTTGGGCTTCTGCCTTATCAAAATAAATTTTAGAGCTAGGAAGACAGGTTAAAAGCTCTATGCGTGGGAGCCCCAGGTTTGATCCCCAGTACTGCATGGTGTCTCCCAAACACCACTGGGTATAGTTCAAAAATAACACAATGCATTTTAGGTTAATCAAATATTTAAATATTAAATATGAATCTATGAAAGATCACTAAAAATTAGGAAAAGTTTTGTAGTCTTGGTGTGGAAAAGATCTAAAGATATATGAGGAAAGGCCCAAAAGCGTTATCAGGAAAAATTGATACTCTTTTTTTTTTTTTTTTTGCTTTTTGGGTCACACCCGTCGATGCACAGGGGATACTCCCGGCTCTTCACTCAGGAATTACTCCTGGCGGTGCTCGGGGGACCATATGGGATGCTGGGAATTGAACACGGGTCAGCCGTGTGCAAGGCAAATGCCCTACCTGCTGTGCTATCTCTCCAGCCTTAAAGTTGATACGTTTTTGCTGCATTAAATAATTTAAAATTTCATGCTAAACAAAAATCATAATCTCAGAAGAAAAATAAGATCTACAAATTAGAGAAATTCTAAAGGGCTAATTTCTATAGTATGTATAAAACATCTACAAATAAGTAAAAATAAATTAATAGACACGTTATATATAGATATTGTCTGTCCTCCCATTATTCATCGATTTGCTTGAGCGGGCCCAGTAACGTCTCCAGTGTGAGACTTCTTGTTACTGTGTTTGGCATATTGAATACTCTCGCCAGGCTCTCTGAGAGAGGTGGAGGAATTGAACCTGGCTCGGCCGGGCTGGCTGCACGCAAGGCAGACGCCCTACCGCTGTGCTATCGCTCCAGCCCATATATATAGATATATCTGTATTTAAGTGAAATAGTCTTTTTTTGAGAAATTTGTGGGAAAAGAGAGAAATAATGTGTTTAGGAGTGAACATGGGCTTCGCTGTGCGTGAAAAAGCCAGAGTCCACATCTCTGGTTGAGATGCATGCCAGCCCAGGACGGAGGATGGTCCAAGTGGAGGCAAGGGATGTGCTGTCTCCCTCCGGGTGAGATGCTTCCCTTTCGCCTGTTCAAAGTTGGTCTTATGGGTGGACTGTCCTGGCTGCCCACACCTGGGGCTTTGGGCGGGGGAAGGACTTCTGGACCCTTGAGCCCGTCCTCATTCTTCAGTTCTTCATTCATTCTTGGAGAGCACTCCCTCTTCTTGGGTGGTGTCTCCTTTTCTTTAGAAAGGCTTCTTTTTTCTACTTTGATTTTTTTTTTTTTGGTTTTGTGCCGTACTCTGCTGTGCCCAGGGCTTACTCCTGGCTCTGCACTTGGGACCATGTTGGGTGGCAAGGATGGTCCATGTGAAGGCAAGCACCCTGCCCACTTGATTATCTCTCCAGCCCCCTTGCAGTTCTACTGGACATGACTTTTATGCAAATAAGCTCTCCTGAGAATGCTTCAGATAATCCTTACATGTGCGTTTCCCTACATGTATATGTTGGTGATCAGTTATGTCTTGGCTTTGTTTTCAAATCGTTTAGTGGAAAGAAATGTTGATGGAACATTGTTGTCTCAAGCAAAGTGTCAACTCTGTAATGACAGCGAAGATTCTTTCACTGTGGCAGATGCCTTAGGAAACAGGTAAGCAGTATTCGGGATGCTTACGTCATTAAATCGTAGTAAGCAGAATCTATCTCTTTAAAGTGCTTTCCTATCATTATTACTTGCTCCTTACCCGAGCCCCAATAAGGACTCATCTAGCATTAACACAAAAAAGAAGTTGCAGTCAAGAAAATGACAGAATGAAGCTCAGACTTTATTAGTTGTTTGACCTTAGACAGTCAGTAAATCTGTCACTTAGTCCTTAGAATGGAGATATAACACCTGCTTCGCAGACTGCTACCACAGCTCAGAAATAAATAGGTGAAGTCCTTAACAGTGCTACACAATAACCGCACAATAAAGTATAGCTGTTATTTTCTTTTTTTGTATTTTCTGTAAGTCTTACATCCTCCATAATGGATCTATGTAATAATCACTTCTATTTTCAGCAGCCTTTTCATGTGCCAGTTTACATTAGAGAGCACATCAATAAACTGAAAAATAGTTACAATGACACTACCCTTTGTTCTCTAGTACTTTCTGTTTTCCTTTTGTGCACGCATAGCTCCCGTGTTTCTAACTCAAGTTATTATCCCTATTTCGGTTTCTTGACTATTTTCCAGCCTCATGAGAACTTCCCTCTAAACGCAGTTTTCTCTTCAGTGTCGAAATTTAAGATAGGAGATACTTGAGCAGGAGCTGGAGCGCTAGTACGGCGGGTGGAGGTCATGCTTTGCACGCAGCTGACCTGCGTTTGCTCCCCAGCACCCTGTATGGTTGACCAGAGTTTTGTCTCCCAGGCTGATGGGCACGTCTTCCCTCCCAGTACCTGCCTGGGTCCGTGTGGGGGTCTGCACCTTCCCCCCAGCCCGCTTCCTGTCTACTCTCTCTTCCAAGCAATGAATTTTCACAGAACTCCATCAGAAGCCCACCTCTTTAGGTGCTTTTCCTCCTGCTATATTATTTATTAAGAAAGGAGTTTATGAAATACTTTTCTAAAATAAACAAAGATGATGAAAAGACTGGATGGGCTGGAACGATAGCACAGCAGTTAGGGCATTTGCCTCGCACGTGGCCAACCTGGGTTCAATTCCCAGCATCCCATATGGTCCCCCGAGCACTGGCAGGAGGAATTCCTGAATGCAGAGCCAGGAGTAACCCCAGTGCATCGCTGGGTGTGACCCAAAAAAAAAGCAAAAGAAAAAAAAGACTTGACAAGTATTGGTTATAGTCATTCCACGGTGGACTGGTCTCTATTTTGACTTGGGTTGTACCATTCTTTTTTTTGGTGTTGGGTGTGTGTGGGGGGGGAAACCTGGCAGTGCTCAGGGATCACTCCTGGTGGGGTTCAGGAGACCAAATTGGATGCCAGGCATCTAACTCAGGTTGGCCGCATGAAAGGCAAGCTCCTTTCCCACTGTACTATCTGGCCCAAGATATAATTCCTTTATTTTTTGGCTCTTTGTGTCACACTTGGCGATGCACAGGTGTTACTCCTGGCTCTGCACTCAGGAATTAACTCCTGGCAGTGCTTCGGGGACCACATGGGATGTCGGGGATTGAACACGGGTTGGGCGCATGCAAGGCAAACGCCCTGCCCACTGTACTATCGCTCCAGTCCCTATAATTCTTTTTTTATACTTCATGAAACTCTTCCATCTCCCTGAGGAGTTTTCTGTCTCTCTTGGACGTGTTTTCTTTTAGTAAAATTTCTTTCAAAAAATAATGTTGGTGATGGTTTTTTAAGGAAGTAGTTGTGTGTGTATCTTTTCGACTATAGTAACTTTTTGCCTTGTTGTAGACAAAATGAGAATTTATTTGAAGGAACAGCTCATAAATACAGATTGAGTTTCTTTATGACTTTGTTGGATTCTCGAGTGATGGTTATTTGGTTTACGGTATCCATCCCATAATTTCATGTGGCTTCAAAAGAACACTTTCCTGTTGCTGGATAGCTGTATTTATACCTTGCCTCATAATAGAAAGAGTGAAATAAAACCACTCCATTCGGGGCTGCAGAGCTAGTCCAGTGGGCCGAGCACAAACTTTGAATGCAGGAGGCTCAGGCTGGGTTTTGGTTCCCCATGGTCCCGTGAGCTCCGACCCCACGGAAGCTGTCCCTGGGCACAGAGCCAGGGATAGCTCCTGGGCACTGCTGGGTCTGACCCAGTACTAGAACAGAACAAGCAAAAGCTATGCAAACCAGTGTTATTAATTTAAAAATCACTTAGTGCAATAAAAAAATATTTTTGAATCTAGAAAAATAAAGTTCTTTATTAGGTGTGGTATAATTCATTAATATTTAAGAAATATTAATAAATTTTTTTTGGTTATATTCACAGGTGTGTCCGATGTGAACCGACATTTATTAATGCCAGCGGGACCTGTGCATGTCCAGAGCCTAACATTTTAGTAAGGATTGTCAGATTGACAAAGATTCTATTTTAAAATTAAATTTCTTATATCCTTTTATAAACTCTTTTTTTTTTTTTTTTTTGTGAAGACAGGAGGATTGTGTATTTCCAGCACAGGGAATTTTCCTCTGCGTAGAATTTCAGCTGTTCGTTATGGGGAGCTTGTAAGTATGTTTCTGTTTTTGTTTTTATTGAGTTATTAAGAATTTTTATTCAGTTCTCTCTTTAATAATTAATGTGGGACTATATGTATATACAACTTTATTTAAAAAAATTTTTGTGGGAGCGCTCAGGACTTAATCCTGACTCTGTACTCATAGTTCATTCCTGGCAGGACTTGGGGGACCATATGAGGGTGCAGGGAATCAAACCTGATTCAGCCTTATGCAAGGCAAGCACCCTACCCATTGTACTATCTCTTCGGCCCATAGTTTTTTAAAAAAAATTTTTACGAGCAGCATCTATAAAGTTGTTCATAATACAGTTGTTTTAGGCCTTTGATGCCTCAGTACCACGACTGGTATGACCTTCCCTCCATCAGTGTGCCAGTGTCTCACCCACCCCCAAGCCTGCCCCTCGCAGGCACAGACAAATTTACTTCATATTGCTTATGACAGTCAAAAGGCAAATGCCCTTACAAGAGAAATCGTTGGAAAGTGCATACATACCTACGTCAGTACAAACGTCTCGCAGTGCTGTAGTAGGGCACATCCCAGGGTGCAGAGCCAGCCGTGAGCACCAAGCACGGCTGGGTGTGACCCAGAAACAAACAGACACACAGAAATCCAGCATCATGACTGCACTTTGCAGGCTGGACATTTAAAAAAAATTTTTTTTAATTGCATCACTGTGAGATAGGCCCTTCCAGAGCTGGCCGTGACTGGGCTTCAGTCATGCAGAGTTCCAGCATGCGAGCTGGACAGTTTTCAGACGGCCACTTCAGAGTCATCAGTTTCGTGAGATCGGACTGCGATGCCAGAATGCATGTTGATTAGTATGTGAGACTGTGATTGCCAGCTAGTCTGAAATACTTGTATTAGCTCAATAACGTAGACTCTTTTTTTTTTTTAAATTTTTTTGTTTTATTGAACCACTGTGATATATAGTTGCAAACTTTCATGTTTGGGTTACAATCACACAATGATCAAACACCCATCCCTCCACCAGTGCACATTCCCCACCACCAATATCCCCGGTAAACTCCCCCTTTCCCACCCTCCCCCTGCCTCCATGGCAGACAATATTCCCCATACTCTCTCTCTACTTTGGGGCATTCTGGTTTGCAGTTCAGACACCGAGAGGTTATTAAGCTTGCTCCTTTATCTACTTTCAGCATACATGTCCCATCCCGACCGATCCCTCCAACCATCCTTTCCTTAGTGATCCCTTCTCTATCCCAGCTGCCATCTCCCCTCTGTTCATGAGGCAGGCTGCCAGCTATGGAGCAATCCTTCTGGCCCTTGTATCTGTAGACTCTTTCTAATTGGAAAAATACAGATCACACATTTTCCTGGGTAACACAAAGTTCTGTTGTCACTGTCCTCTTGTTGTTCCTCGATTTGCTCAAGTGGGCCCATTGTGACACTTGTTGCTGTGTTTGGCATATCGAATACGCCACGGGTAGCTTGCCAGGCTTTACTGCGCAGGCGAGATACTCTCGGTAGCTTGCCAGGCTCTCCGAGAGGGGCAGAGGAATCGAACCTGGGTCGGCCGGGTTGGCCGTGTGCAAGACAAATGCCCTAACGCTGTGCTATCGCTCCAGCCCAGAAAGTTCTGTAAATACTGTAAATACACAAAAGAGTATAAATACCATTCCAGAATTTGATGAGGGAGATCGTCCATTTCCACCCTAGGAATGTGTATGCCAGTCAGCAAAGACGTCTCGTGTTTATCGGACAGTGTCTTCCATTGCTTTCCCCAAGGTCGTCGGTTAGTTCACATCTTGTTTCTGTGTGTTCCTTTGTGGAGGGAGGGTTCTCAGGCAGTACTCAGAAGCTTCTCAGCCAGTCACGCCTGGGGTCAGCATTCAGTGCTAGGCCCATAGTGCATTGCTGCTGGAGTCCTGTGCTTCAAGGGTTACTGGGTGATGCTTGGAGCCTCAGGACTGTCCCCCATGATGCTGGGGGTGACCACGTGTGTCAGGGCAAAAACACCAATAGCCCCATGCAAAGCATGTGCCTTAACCCTTGACCTGTTTTCTGCAGATCCTTGGTGTTTTTTTTTTCTAATTTTTGTTTTGAAAAATAACAAATTTATGAAAAAGAATTAAAAAAATAAGATGACTACGTACATCTTTTACATATATTATTACCACGTTTGCTTTATCTCTTTGTACGTAAAACCATGTATGCAATTTTTTTTCCTTAACTACTTGAAAATAAACTTATGTCCACATGACATTTTGCTCTTAAGCACTCTATTATTATGTAGCTCCGAAGAGCATGGACATTTTTGTGACATCACTTCTAAGAAATTCAAAGATAATATAATAGAATGACCTAATGCAACTATTTATATCTACAGCTGCTTGCTTGTTCCAGTAATGTCCTTTATCTCCCAGGCCCCTCCTGTGAGGGCAGTGGGAGCAGGATCCATTCAAGAACCTTCCATTGCAGTTAGCCTTTTTTTGTGTGCTTTAATCCAGAATACACTCTCTTCTGTGCTTTTGTGGATTTTGTTGTTTCCGCTGTCTTTGCTTTCATGTCATGACCCTTGAGAGTGAAGTCCGTTGTAGCTATAACTCGGGTTTTTCTAATTATTTTCTTGTGCTTAGATGAAATGAAGGATCTTGTGGCAAGAATATGCTATAGGTCTTATACATAGCCCACTAGCAAGAGGTATGTATTCTTAGGTTGTCCCGTTATTTGTGATGGTCAGTTTGGTTCCCTCCATCCTGGTGGTTTCGGCTCCTTTTTCCCATTATAAAGGTACAATCATTAATAAGTTGATCTGAGATCTTAGATATCACATAATACCCGTTTCAGCAGCTAGTGATGACTTTGAATCAATCATTACATTATTTTAAAATAACTTCACAATTCTTTATTTAGCTATCTACTGATTTTACCAAGAACTAACAGGATTTTTGTGTTAATAACTTGTCCTCCTTTTTCATTTAAAGCTCAAGTTTTACTAAATTTGGACTTGCCTTTGAAATACTCAGCTCTTGTGCGATTTTGTTAGTTTTCAACAGTGTTGGGGCCCACCCTTGGTTTTTCTATGGCATGTTCCCAGCTCAACCAACAGAAATATAGTTTTTAGTAGGTACTACTATGGTTCATATGCTGAAATGCATACCATTTTATTACTAATCACATTGCTGTCAACCGTTTCTATGCAAATAGATGTTTTTTGTTTTGGAGGGATTATTAAGGTAAAATTTCTAAATGTTTCTAAATTCCTGGATCAAAGTGTGTAGGTATTATTTTATAAAAGGAAATACTACCTCACTATCACTGGTATTATCTATGACTTCCTTGCATTAACTGGCATTTTTTCTTTTTCCATTTTCACCAATTTTTTTTTTTTTTTTTTTTGCTTTTTGGGTCACACTCTGTGATGCACAGCAGGTTATTCCTGGCTCTGCACTCAGGAATTACTCCTGGCGTTGCCCAGCCCCTTGCTCCAGCCCCTTTACCAAATATTTTTAATGTTCTTCAGCTTTCTACACATATGTTCTTGAAAAATTAGAATTTTTGCTTATGAAGGGATGAAAATGATGATTTGGGAGTTGGAGAGATAGCATAGCGGGCAGGGCGTTTACTTTGCACGCAGCTGACCTGGGTTCGATTCCCAGCATTCCATATGGTTCCCTGAGCACAGCCAGGAGTAACTCCTGAGTGCAGAGCCAGGGGTAACCCCGGTGCATTGCCAGGTGTGACCCAAAATGCAAAAAAAAAAAAAAAAGGAAAAAAAAGAAAATGATGATTCATAATTTTCTTTTAGATTTTATTGTTGTTGCAATTTTGGAGTTTGAGGCAAGTCCTGACAGTGCTCAGGGCTTACTCCTGGTTCTGAGCTCAGGGATCATTCCTAATGGGACCAGGGATCCACAGTACTTTGGGGGTTTTATGGGGTATCAGGGATTGAACCTGGTTGGCCACATGCCAGGCAAGCGCCTGACCTGCTATCCTATCTCTTTGCCTCCTTTTAGATTTCTTTACAGTTGTGGTGCCAGAGACCACGTTATTTGGATTTGTTGCTTTTGGTTTTAAGTCCAAAAAACTTTGTTCTAAATGATGCTTTCTAGGTCACATTTTTTTAGGACGATGTGTAGATAAGCTGTGAAAAGTGGTTCTTGGCCAGAGGTTTTTAGCTGGAACAAAAATTTGGCATAAATAAGATTTCATGTGTTTGCAATAAGGCTTTGAAAAACAAAAAGCAGAGACAAAATAAAGGAGTGTGCTAGCTAATAAATGTAAAGTTAGTAATAGACTTGGGGAATCATTTTGAAATAACCCTTTTAAAAAATTTGATTCCGATGTAATTATTATCGATCCCTGCTAAAATGGTGGGGCAGTTTCTGGGTAAGATCTCAGACTTGTTATTCATCACAGTGTCTCTCAGCACGGGTGCACTTTGGTCTCATCCTTGAGGCTGTGAGCCGTTTGATTTGGAATTAAGCAGGTAATTTCTGTGTCTAAGAAATTTCACAGATAGTTTTCATATCATTATTGTTTGAAAATCCCCATTTACAAAGATTTTTCATATTACTATCCCTATTCTAAATCTTCTGTTCAGAAATCATTCATAAATGCCTTTTAAATTTCCTGTCAATATAATACAGCAACTGTTGACCCTGTTAGGATCTAGGTTTTTATTTTTTGCCATTTTATTTTATTTTTTTTATGCATTGTGGATTGTGTGTGTGTGTGTGTGTGTGTGTGTGTGTGTGTGTGTGTTAGTGGGATGGCATAGCGAAATACTATGAACGTACTTAGTTCCTTTGTATCTTTGGTCTAAAAGTCCTCTTATTTTTTGTTTTAAATTTATTTACTTATTTATCTTTGCTTTTTGGGTCACACCCGGCAATGCACAGGGGTTACTCCTGGCTCTGCACTCAGGAATGACTCGTGGCGGTGCTCGGGGGACCATATGGGATGCTGGGAATCGAACTTGGGTCGGCCGCGTGCAAGGCAGACGCCCTACCCACTGTGCTATCGCTCCAGCCCCTAAAAGTCCTCTTTTAATAGCTGTTATTGGTAGAAATTAATTCTTGTGTTCCTGTTAGAATCTTTTTCTGATAACATTGAGAAAATAATGTTAGTCATTTCCTATTCAGTAATGTGTTTATTAATGCCTTCCTACAAGCATGAGGAATTTAAAACTCAGATCTCTCTTTGTTTACAGGGCGTGTCTTTCATATCAGATTGGTTTGTTAAACATCTGCAGGCATCAGCAGCTGCTTGTTGGGTGAGTTTAACATTTTAGAAAAAAACTTAATTTTCATTTTGAGTAATGACATTTTTTTCATGTAGTGTTTTCTCTCCAAACATATTTCTTTGTTTATACTTTGAGAACAGAGCCGGGAGTAAGCTGGGTGTGGCCCAAAAAGCAAAAATGAAGTTGAAAAATGGAAAAAGTAAATCAATAGCATTAGCAAACAGTAAACAGACTATTAAAAAAAAAAGAGCAAGAGGTTAGCCCCCCGAAAGGATTTGCAGACTAGCTCAAAATTAAAACCGAGCACAAGTATGACATCTGTTTTCTGCCGAGGCTTTTAAAGCCTGTCTGATGCTGCTTTGCCATTTTTCTCTCACAGTTACACGCCAATCTAACGTCTTGCCAAGCTCTGGGAAATATGTGTGTGATGAACATGAATTCCTATTACGACGCTGCCGTTTTTGATGCCTGTCGACTGTTTCAGGCCGTCTTTGAAAACGCAGCTGGGCTGCGTACTGTTCATTCCATTTCCTTTTGGTAAGAGAACTTCGATGAATCATCACTGTACCAAATCCAGTGCAGCTACTTCTGCACATATTAGAATAAGAAATGTCATCGTCCCATTGTTAAAACAAATGTGCCTGCCACAGAGGCATTGGGTCGGGGGGTTGAAGGGGTGGCCGGAGGGCTACTGGGAACATTGGTGGTGGAGAATGGACACTGGTGGAGCGATGGGGACTCGATCATTGTAGGACTGAAATGTAATCACGAAAGTTTGTAAATCTGTAACTGTATCTCATGGTGATTCATTAAAAAAATTTTTTTTAAAAATTAAAAAAAATTAAATTAAAAACAACTGTGATTATCTACAGGAGACAGAATCTTCCGTGGCTGTACTATGGAGACCAGCTCGGAATAGCTTCTCAAGTCCTCAGAACTACTCCTCTTCCTACAAATTTCACTTTTAAAGGGGACAACCAGGTATAAATCACTGTATTCATTACTGGCGAACCACAGTTTTTTTTTTCTTTTTTTCTTTTTGGGTCACACCCGGCGATGCACAGGGGTCACTCCTGGCTCTGCATTCAGGAGTTACTCCTGGCCGGTGCTCAGGGGACCATATGGGATGCTGGGAATTGAACCCGGGTCGGCCGCGTGCAAGGCAAACGCCCTACCTGCTGTGTTCTCGCTCCAGCCCTAACCACAGTTTTGACTGATCAAGAAGCTAACAGGATTGTGACTCAGTGTAATTTTTGCTTCAGGTTTTTTTTTTTTAAAAAATGTTGATCTCTAACCTAAATCTCAGCTCCCCGGAGGAGTGAGCAGTGGAGTTTAGCAGGCTGGAGTATGTGCCTGCAGCCCCAGGGTGACTGTGGGCGGGAAGGGACTTTGCAGCAGGAGCCAAACACAGTCTGTGCTTCTGTAAGTCCGTATGTAGAAGAAGTGCTCGCAGAGCTGGATTGGGGCTCCAGATTTTTAGCGTTATAAAATGAAAAGACAATTTCTCTTCCCCCCGCCCCCGCGTTCTCCCACTATATCTCCCCATTGAACAGGTTTGGAAGGAGGTTATCTGCTACGAGCACTCGCTCAGTTCTGAAGTCATAGTTGCATGCGTAAGAATCAGTATTTTAGGTGTATCTCAAAACTGCTTAGATTAGTTATGCTTCGGAGTAAAGATAGTCGACTCTGGAGGAAAAAAGATGAAAGTTTCCTTATAGACTTTTGTCTAGCTTTCAAAGTCTGTGACATTTTGTATTCTTTGTCTTGACTCAGAATATGAAACTGAAGTTTGTAGCTGCTTCCTACGATGTGAGAGGAAATTTTCTCCAGTGGCAGACCTTAGAAGGAGGTGTCTTACAGGTGACTGATTTCAGCTCACGTACTAATGAGCATTCTTTTCAACTGAGGCAGGATAAGGGAACATTGGGTCCTTGCTTAAAGGCTACTGTTGTGTCTTTGTGTGTGCATGTGCTCCAAATTAAATTTCTTAAACTGCTTTGTTATGGCTGTCACAAAATTGCTCCTTTAAACTTTCAAGCCCTTAACCATAGATATTATATAAACTGTATGTTTGTGCTGAGATTTGAGAACTCTGGTTATAAGCCAAGAGCACATTAATCAGCTTTATTCCTTTACTGTCGTAGCTTTGTCCCGACACAGAGATAAGACTAAATGCGGCTTATTCTTTTGGAACAACCTATCAACAAAGTGTAAGTTTCAACTGACAGTTTGTTTAAACTTCATTTTTCACATCAGCAACAACCGTGGTATTTTTGAAATTGGAAATTTTTTTATTATAATGAATAGTTTCAATAATTGATATATATATTTTAATTCAAGGATATAAAAAACCTTGATTTAGTCAAAATGAAGAGAATACATTTTCATCTACGGAGCCTTAACCATCATATAGTGTTAGATGTGCTAATCTGTCCTTGACTTCTAGGTACGTGTCAAAAATAATGCTTTTTTCTTGTTTAAATTAAGTAAAACTGTACATTTTTTGTACTAGTCTAATTAAAATGTTTTTCCTTTGGGCTCGACAAGAGTGCAGGGGTGAAGACTCTTGCCGTCACGCGGCTCCCCTGGTTCCGTCCCCAGCACTGCATGTAGTAGCTCATGAGTCCTCTCAGGAGTAGCTCCAACTTCCCCCCAATTACAAAAACAGAAAAAGTCATGGTCACTGTCCTCCCGTTGTTCATCGATTTGCTCAAGCGGGCCCAGTAACGTCTCCATCTTGAGACTTGTTGTTACTGTGTTTGGCACATTGAATATGTCACGGGTAGCTTGCCAGACTCTGCCGTGCGGGCGAGATACTCTCGGTAGCTTGCCAGGCTCTCTGAGAGGGGCGGAAGAATCGAACCCGGCTCCGCCAGGCTGGCTGTGTGCAAGGCAAACGCCCTACCTGCTGTGCTATTGCTCCAGCCCAACAAAAACAGAAAAAGTAACTTAATTAAATGTTACTCCTTCCTCCCTTCTTTCTTTGCTGACCTTTTTCCTTTGGTAACCCACTTCTCTTTTTTCTTTAACTGAATCACAGTGAGGTACACAGTTATATAAGTTCTTCATAGTTTGGTTTCAGTCATAAAATGCAGTCCTCCTCCCCCCCCCCCCCCCCGTCTCTATGGCAGGCACTTTTCTTTCTTCTCTCTCTCTCTCTCTCTCTCTCTCTAGCTCTCCCTCCCTCTCACACTCTCTCTCCCTCTCTCTCTCCCCCGCCCCCCTTCTCTCCCCCTCCTTTTGGACATTATGGTTTGCAGTAGAAAGGAAAGGTTATCAGGTATATCCTTTTACCTGCTTTCAACACTCAGTTCTTGCCCTGAGTGTTCCATTTCTGACTATTATTCCTTTGTCTGTATCCTAGCTGCCCTTTATCCCATACACACATGTGGCAAGCTTCCAACCATTGGATCCTTCTGGCCCCTGTTTTTCTTGGCCTCAGATATTAGTCGCCCATTATTAAATTTTTTGCTACATCTCACAAATGAGTGTAGTCATCCTATATCTCTCCCTCTCCATCTGACTGACTTCACTGAGCATCATATTCTCCATATGTATCCTTTTATAAGCAGACTTCATGACCTAATTTTTCTTAAAAGCTGCATAGTATTCCATTGTATAGAAGTGCCCTAGTTTCTTTAACCAGTCGTCTGTCTCAGACACTCGGGTTGTTTCCAGATTCTGGCTATTGTGAATAGTTCTGCAGCGAACAAAGAAGTGCGGGTGCCATTTCTGCTCTGTTTTTGGGCCTCCAGGTTATGTTCCCAGAAGTGGCAACCCACTTTTAAATTACATTTTGGCGCTAAGAAATATCATGAGCCAGTAAATATTTGAAATATATTCTCCAATTTACAGAAGCACTTTTTTTTTTTTGCTTTTTTTTGGGTCACACCTGGCGATGCACAGGGGCTACTCCTGGCTCTGCACTCAAGAGTTCTCCTGGTGGTGCTCAGGGGACCATATGGGATGCTGGGAATCGGACCCGGGTCGGCCGCATGCAAGGCAAACGCCCTACCTGCTGTGCTATCCCTCCAGCCCCTACAGAAGCACTTTTGATAAAACACACAGTTTACTCACTGTAGAACAAAAGTATGGTTCTAGTTTTGTTAAAAATACAATGTAGAATGGCCTTGTGGGGAAAAAAGTTTTGAAGGAAAAAAACATTCATGGGATTATAGTTAAAATTTTTTTCTTGTGTATATTTTTCAAAATTTGGAAGGAAAAAACATTCATGGGATTATAGTTAATATTTTTTTCTTGTGTATATTTTTCCAAATTTTCTATCATGAGTATGAATTTACTTTAATTATCAGAAATCACTGTTGAACAGTAACTTGAAAAGTATTATCATACGCCAGCTTTGGTCCAGGAGTGAGTCAGCACTAGTTAAATACCTGTTGTTGCGAGCACGACATTTTATTGTTCTTTCATCTGATCTGTGAAGTAATTGTGAGCTCATAATATTTGTGCTTCACAGATAAGTTGCTGTTCTCCATGCTTTAGGTAATGCCCAAGCCAGTTCTCTGTTAGGTTTAAAATCAGGATTTTTTTTTTTTTTGCTGAACCTGGCTGCCTCTCATGTAGTTCACAGCCTAGTAGAGAAAACAGCTGGATGAACAAAAACTCAAAGATTCTTCTCATTGGAGACATGGTCCCCTGAGCACCAACCCTCACCCTATTCCTCAAAGGAAACAGAAAGCTGTATCTTAAGAGAAGAAGAGAGAGAGAGAGAGAGATAGAGAGAGAGAGAGAGAGTGTGTGTGTGTGTGTGTGTGTGTTAGGGCCACACCCAGCAGTGCTCAGGGCTTGCTCCTGGCTCTGTGCTCAGGGGTCTCTATGTGGCACCAGGTATTGAGCCTGATTTGACTAGCCACAAGGCAAGTGTTTGAGCCTGGGTCCCATCTCTCTAGCTCCTGGGATGTAGTTTTCAACGCTGCCACAGAGTAGGGGCCTCAGCCGCTCCTGCTCACAGAGTTATTGATGCCTGGACTTGAGGAGTGACTATAAGATAGCCAGGGTAACAGGAAGAAGAGTGTGCCGGGGAGAAACACTGGCACTGTCAGAGCACACAGTGGTTGAGGAGTAAAAGTAGACGTTATAGAGATGATACGCAGAGGAGTCCGAATGGACTAGGAAGGAGCAGCGAGAGATCAGCCTGTTCTCTTAAGAGGAGCCAAATCATTTAGATGCAGCGTTGCTCATCCGGAGGAAGAACTAGGCCCTTACCTCTTGGGAGAGGCGTTTTGAAGGCATTTTTCTACTATTCCCTTAATTGCTCCCTCCTCTGACCTCCTGTGTTCGGCCCGTCAGTTTACTGCTTGGCTGGGAGAGTGAGGTGCGGGAACACAATGAAACTGAGCCAGGGATTGACCTCATGCCCTTGCACCTATGAAGCAGGAACTGCGGTCCCGCTAACGGCGAGAATGAATGCTTCCACCTGGGTTGTCATGCAATGTTTTCCAGTTAGTTTTATTGGCCTACATTAAAAAATAATTGTAACATTAATATTTTGGAAGGCACATGGAGGTGCATGTGTGTTGAAGGTATTTTATTGTACAAAATTCAAAAAAAAAAACACCACTTTGAGCTCGCAAGATAGCTCAATGGTAATCAGGAATGTGGCTCCGCAGAGGCCCTCGGCTTGATCTCAAACACCAAGAAACAACAAACAAGATAGTCTTGGTCTTTGTGATTTTTCGTTTTCAGTCGGGATGCTTTTATTTCAAATCTAAAAATTTTGTTTTCCAGTGTGATGTCCCAATCTCTAAGATCTTAGCTGACTTTCCCACGCCAATATTTTATGATGTGTACTTTGAATATACCGATGAAAATGATCACCAGTTCATCTGGGCTGTGCCTGTGTTAAACCTAAATCTTCAGCATCATAAAACATTTGTGAACAAAGGTGAGACCATACAAATCTCTCTTTCTCTGAGCCAAAATCAAAAGATAAGTAAACCTTGGTAATTTCAGAGTCACAGATTATACAAATAGTCATATATTTTTCTCTCTTGTTCGTCTTATATAATGGCATGCCAAAAAAAAAAAAAGTGAAAAATAAGTAGCCGGAAATATTTACTAATTGTTAAGGAACTTTATTATTGCCGAACCTGTGTCCTGAGAAACTTGGTAACTGCAGACTGGGAGCTTCTTCAAACACCCTTGAGCTGCTTTTTGGAAAAATTAGGGTTTGAGGTTTTTGTTTTATCTTGTTTCCCATATCATAAAATTCTGCTGTTTGCAGGAGAATAGTGCTAACTGATGAAAAATCCGATCAGAAGACATTGGGGGTGAGATGAAACCATGATTGCTAGGAATCTCTTAGAGCAGTACTAGTTCTTGCGATCACTGTGTCTACATTAAAATCTACTAATTTTGAAAAAAATATATATAATAATTTTGTTTTTTAAATTTGATAATTCACATCTTCAAGAGCCATAAAGGGCCATCTGGAACATTTGGACAGTATTTCTAATGCGTTTTTTCCTCTCTTCATGATAAAGATAGTAACTCTGATAAGTGGCTTCTGACTCGGCGCATTTTCTTGGTGGATGCACTAAGTGGACGAGAGAACGACTTAGGAAATCAGCCGCGGGTAATTCGAATCGCTACCCAAATATCAGTCAGGTAAGGAGTCTGCAACTACCAAGTCAGATTTGAAGTATCTGAGAAAATGGCCCGAGGGGGGTGGGTGCCAGGGGGTGCTAGATGGGAACAGTCAGGACAGCTGGGTCGGAGCGACACGGGCAGGCTGTTACACGGCGTCTCACTGGGCTGGTGGACACCAGCGGAGAGGGAATTAGATGGAGCATTTGGCTTTTGTCAGGATTCAGCCTGGCCTCCTGCTGGTGCTGCCGAGTCAGGATCGGCTCAGAGCGGAAGGGCAGGTGGGCACCAGGGCCCAGAGTGGGCGCACGGAGCCCCGCAGGTGACAGGCTCTGCTCGGCCTCCTCTGTCGTCATGTGCTTTCATAGTTGCTCTTGTAGCTTAGTCGTCGTTGATTCGTACGGTCAATTCCTCTTCCTGCTGCAACAGTGATTCTGAGGAGTGTGTCGTGCAGCCTTTTATTCCTTACTCGGTCTTAACCAACTTCCCCACTCCATTGGTCTCATGACGTGGTCTTGGAATCACAGATCACAGATCACAGATCATCCTGTTATTCGTCGATTGCCTCGAGCAGGCCCCAGTAACGTCTCCTTCATCCTAGCCCTGAGATTATATTCAAGGCTCTTTAGGAGAATGAGACCCATCATTGTTACTGGTATTTGGCATATTGGGTACGCCACGGGGAGTTTGCCAGACTCTGCCCTGTGGGCAGGTTACATTCGGGAGCCTGCCAGTTTGTCAAAGTAGGAATGAGATGTCATAATAAAATGTCGCGCGGCCACAAATGCGGCCGCGCGGTTCTGGGATCTGGTTTTTATAGTCTCTGAGTCTTGGCCGCTGATGGGATTACACAGCGCCAGGGGGCCAGTTGGTGGGTGTGACCCCCGCCTACTGGAATTTGGAGGATCTGGGTGGAGGATGCTCAACTCCAATCCTAGTAGGCTTGGAGATCTCGGCCCCGGAACCCACGTGGCTTTGTCCCTGTGCCGGTACTTTCAGGTGTGCGGAGAGTGGTCTCAGCATGGTGGTGTCTGGTCCTGGAGGTCGTCGGCTGCTGGAGACCTGGTCGGGGCGGGGAGGAAAGCTCAACCCGCTCCCTCCAAGGGGCCACGGCGAGGAACAGCCAGGCGCGGGGGCAGGAGACTGCACTGTTCTCCCTCTGGGATCTGGTTTTCAATGGTCTTGGAATAGACCATTGAAAACCACCACCCTCAGAGACCAGAACCATAGTACAGCAGGGAGGGCACTGGCCTTACTTGCAGCTGACCCGGGTTTGATCCCTGGCATCCCATCAAGGTCCCCTGAGCACTGCTGGGAGTAATTCTTAAGTGCAGAGCCAGGACTAACCCCTGAACATTGCCAGGTGTGACCCAAAGAACAACAGAAAACAAAATTTTAAAAGAAAAGCAACACCAGAGGGCTGGAGCGATAATACATCGAGTAGGGCGTTTGCCTTGCACGCGTGGCCGACCCGGGTTTGATTCCCAGCATCCCGTATGGTCCCCTGAGCACCATCAGGAGTAATTCCTGAATGCAGAGCCAGGAGTAACCACTGTGCATCATTGGGTGTGACCCATTACGCAAAAAAGAAAAAAAAAAAACCACCATCATCTTCTCTGTAAGTTTGGCATTTCAGTATGTGTTGTGTTTTTCACTATTGCCTCATTTTGCCTTCTGTAGCAGTCTTCTGGGGTAGGCAGTCCAGACACTTTGGCCATTCATTTTTTCTTTTTTGCTTTTGAGGTCACACCCAGCGATATTCAGCGATATTTGTTACTCCTGGCTCTGCACTCAGGAATTACTCCTGGCAGAGCTGGGGGATCATATGGGATGCCGGGGATTGAACCCGCGTCGGCTGCGTGCAAGGCAAATGCCCTGCCCCCTGTACTATCACTCCAGTCCCTGGCCATTATCTTGCTGAAATCCAAATGTAGCAAACTCTGGACGTTCCCTCGATCTGCTAGTGAGAACAGTTAACAGCAGGCCAAGCCCTGATGCTTACCGTTTTTCTGCTTGAGTGTACAGACTCCACCATAAAAGTCGTGCCATAAAAGTCCTAGAGCTCCGATACTACTTTGTTGTGAATTCCTCTTTCTCATTAGAAACTCGGGGTAGTGTTTGCCTTCCTCGCAGCCTCAGATAACACACACACTTACCCTTGAGTGTTCCTGAAAGGCCTCACAGTACTGCAGTGATTTCACTGGAAATGCAAAAGGACCAAGAGCAGGAAGAGTTTCTGATTTGTCCCAGAGAGTTTATTTTACTTTTACAATTCTGACCACTTAGGATCCTTGTGTTGTTGCCATTCTGTTCATCTATACTTATACTCCGCTTTCACTGACTGGTTGTTGAGATCAACAAGACCTTCCAGGTTAAATTCCTGGCAAAGGCGGAAATGGGTGTTATTTATAACTGGAATTGTATTTCCCTTAAACAGCATCCATCTTGTACCTAACACGAGAGCTGGAAACATCTACCCTCCTTTAATCACTATAGCATACAGTGACGTTGATATCAGAGATTCCAAAAGCCAGTCTGTGAAGGTAAGTTCTTTTTTCGTTAATATTCAGCTGCATGTTAATATAATACTGATGCCATTTGTATTTTAACAAGAAACTATTATTCCTTTCTTTGAAAAGTTTCTTTGGGTTTTGGGCCATACCTGGCAGTGCTCAGGGTTTGCTCCTGGTGGTACTTGGAGGACCATACATGGTGCCGGAGATCAAACCCGGGTCAGCTGTGTGCACGGCTGACTTACCCTCTTAGGCCTTTTCTGAGTTTCAGATATACTTTGCTCTTTATCTAGTCAAGTCTTGTTTATTTTTTTACCAGCACTAGTCAGAGGGGAGTTCTGATGGATCTTTGTGTAAAATAAGTGAGAATTGGGTTTTTCAGCAGGCATGTGCCCAGCAGCTGGACACTCCTGATAAGGATCCTGAAGTATACCCAGATACACAGCGTCTTCTCCTGTCCTCCCTGCCCTTCTTGGTTGCAGTACGATTTTTGTTTTCCTGCCTGAGTAAACTAGATGCTCAACCTCTGTGTGGGCACGTGTGTTCTCTTTTCATTAGCCTTGCCTTGCGCGTTTGATAAGGCCAGTGTTTAGCAGGCAGAGATTCAGGCGATCAGCTTTCTAACTGGTGTTGGAAAGTGAAGGGAGGGATGCAGCTTGGAGCTGCAACCAACTAGGCTTCCCCCGGCGTCTCCAAATTGCTGAGACGGACTCCAGAGCCCCAGTTCCAAGAGCTCGCATAGGGAGAGCACCAAAAGAGTGAGCCTGCAAAGACCGTTGCTTCTCCTTGCATTGATACCAGTCAGGTAGAGCATCCCTGCTTTGCGCTCAATGGCGTCGCTGAGAGGGAAGAGAGAAAGGACAGAAGTAGCTCTCTAATAATCTGTTTTTTGTGGCTAGAGCAATAGCACAGTGGGTAGGGCGTTTGCCTTGCACACGGCCGACCCGGGTTCCCATATGGTACATCCCAGAGTACCGCCAGGGGTAATTTCTGAGTGCAGAGCCAGGAGTAACCCCTGTGTATCGCCAGGTGTGATCCAAAAAGAAGAAAAAAAAATCTGTTTTTCCTCATAAAAATTCAGTGGATATTCTTTTCTCTTTAAGCAAACATGAGAATTGTGGGATGTTTCCTTAACTCCAAGACTAACTTTTAGAAGTAATTTCATTAGTAATTCCTACTGTTAAGTAGAAATTGTTACCTTAATTATATTTGATTTTTAAAGTTAACTTCTAAATTTTAGTAGAAATTACAGTAGAAAGCTAATTTCGACTGTTACTTTCTCTAGATTTTAATATTCTGGTTTCTTCAGCCAGTGTGCTTGGCCTCTCTGTGGGACTTGCACTTGGTGGCTACTGTTGGTTTTAGACTTTGTTTACGAAAAATAGGCAGCTAGCATAACTTTTCTCTGAAAGATTCCGTATTTCCGTTTTAATTACCTAACTTGTGTGAGTGTGTTTCCGCTGCCTGAGCTTGTAAGGCTCCAAAGAGAACAGGCAGTCCAGAAACACGCTTGATTACAACTGAAGATTTCCTGGTTGAAACTTCCTCACAGTGATCGTTCTTGGGTCACCAAGGGTGCATTCATTGTAACATACATCCATTGGAACTTTTCTGTAAATGTTTTCTTCTTGCACCAAAGATTCCAAACTCAGGGTCAACACATTTGAAAGGTTTTCTAGAAGTTCTTCTGACTCTCTAGTGACAGAGTCTGCCACATGTTCCGTTGACTCACAGGATCGGCAGTTTTTTTTTCATCATTTCTGAACTTCCCCTTGACACCAGTTGCAAAACATTGCATTGGTCTCAAATATCCAGTTCCCTCTGCTCTCTCGCCACCTTCCTTTCTGGTTTACTGAGCAGATCAAACTGTCCAACATGATTCCCTCAGAAATCATCTTCAGTACTTCAGAACAGAATTCTGTGCTTCGTTGGCCTTCCCTTCACTTCTTCCTGTTTCTCATACAAGGAGGCCTTTCCGCTCTTTTTCTTTCTTTCGTTTTTTGACTGACACCCAGCGGTGCTCAGAGGTTTCTCCTGCCCTGTCTGTGCTCAGGGATCACTCCTGGTGGGACTCGGGGGCCATATGGGGTGCCAGGAATTGAATCTGGGTCGTCGACATGCAACCGGGTTGCAGCCACCATCCTGTCATTCCCATTCCCCCCCCCCCCCCACACACACACTTATTCTTAAGCTAATTTTCTGCCTTTCTTGTCTGTTATATTTATTTTCTTTTCAGTATCTTGTTTCAATCCCAATGATTTATTTGGCCAGTTTCTTTTTGGTACTTTTTCTCGTCTCTCTGCTTTTAGCAACTTCCAACTCAACGGGTTTTTTTTTTTTTTTTTTTTTTTGGGCAGGGATGGGGCAGGGAAGTGGGTAGGGGGATGGTTTGGACCCTACCCTATGTGCTTAGGGCTGTTCCTACTCTGTGCTTAGGAGTGACCCCTTGCCACGCGTGGGGGACCTTACATGGATTTGAACTGAGGTCTGAGGCATGCAAGTCAACGCCTTATCTCCCCACCCCCACAGTGTCTTCAGCAAGAAAGCCCCCCACCCGATGGACCATTATTGCTCTGCTTCTCAAAAGAGTTATTGAAAGCATTAATAATTCTTTGGAGGAAATCATCTGTAAATAAGGGTCAAATGATAATGTTGATGGTCTTAAAATTTAGCAGCATATATGGTAAAATATAGTTAGCAGTGTAATTTTTTTTCCAGTTTTTCATTGAAGGAACATTTCATGATAATGTTTCAAGTTTGCATCCTAAATCTACAACTGTATGTACTATCTCAGGAACACCACTGAAAGTTCATTTCTGTCCTTGGCCAGGTGGAGGTGTATTTTAATTTTATTTACTAGAAGAAAAGATAAAGAAAAAACGTATTGATAATATGTTTACCTCTTGTACACACGTGGTAGGAACCCACAGGAACTGAGTAATTCTCCCACATGATGTTTAGACAGTGGGAATCCCTTAACTAAGATGCAGATGACACAGAAGCCCTGAGTCTCTGTGTTCGTGCATGATTCTCAGGTTCTTCAATATTTTCAAGAATGAAAATATTGAGTAATAAAAATACTCAGGGGCTGGAGCAATAGCACAACGGGTAGGGCATTTTTCTTGTACTCGGCCGACCTGGGTTCGATTCCCAGCATCCCATATGGTCCCCCGAGCACCACCAGTAGTAATTCCTGAGTGCAGAGCCAGGAGTAACCCCTGTGCATCGCCAGGTGTGACCCAAAAAGCAAAAAAAAAAAAAATACTCAGTTCGGACTGGAGCAATAGCATAGCAGGTAGGGCATTTGCCTTGCACACGGCCGACCTGGGTTCGATTCCCAGCATCCCATAGGGTCCCCTGAGCACCACCAGGAGTAATTTCTGAGTGCATGAGCCAGGAGTAACCCCTGTGCATTGCCGGGTGTGACCCAAAAAGAAAAAAAAATACTCAGAGTTCCTGGGAAATAGAAAAGTTTCTTGGCAAGTCGAAGAGAAAAGAAAAGGAGCTCCCCGAGTGGGAGGAGCTTAGTGTGGACTGCTTTCAGGTAGGGAGTTTCTGAGGGCTCCTGAGGGCTCCTTGCGTTCCTTACCAGTGGGCAGGTGTTTATAAAAGACGCCAGAAAATCACAGAGGGGTCTAGCTGGCCCACATCTCCCTGGACATTCCTGTCCCTTATCCTCGTCTCCCTGCCAGCCGAAGCTCCAGGACAGAGTTCTATGGTCCTGGGAAGCTCTAGGAACTTTGGGAATGAGATATGTGTCAGGTCAAGGGGGAGGGGGTGGCCAGCAGAAACTGGCTTCCGTCCTCACTGGCGAGGTGAGACAAATCTCCAGGCATCGTTGCCGTGATCTTAGGTTCCCCGTCAGCCTGGACTCCAAGGTAGAGTTTCATGTTCCCAGGAAGCTCAGGGAATACTGAGACAGAACCTTGGGGATGGAATGTGGGTCATGTTGATGGGTGAGGGATGAAACGTGGAGAGAGAAAACAAGGGGAAACTGAGGCTTTCTCTTTCAGCAGCTTGTCAGTGTATTTTTGTGGTTTGTGTTAAATAATTTCAATATGACTTCCTTGCTTTCTTTTAAATATCAGGTTTCTTTCTCAGTCAGATACGAAATGAACCAAGGAGAAGCATATGTCCAGACAGATGTGAGTTTCTTTTAATCTATTAAAATATTCATAGCATATTTTTTAATTTAAAAAAAAGTTTCGATGTGCAGGAAAGTTGGCCAAATGGAGAGGTCTGCCATATTGCTACCATCCAGCCTCCCCTAATATTAACCTCTTACACAACCATAGTTCAGTTCAAAACCAGGAAATCAATACTGGCATAATATTAATCTAACTAATATTAATGAAATACTTTGAATTTTACAAATGTTTTTATCATCTTTTTGATTTTAGGACTCATGATGCTTTATGTTCAGGGTTTCATAATGCTTTCAACCGTTATATCTTCACGTCTCCTTTAATCTTCAGTTTTTCAGTCTTTGATTACCCTAATGGGCTGGAATGATAGCACAGTGGTAGGGCGTTTGCCTTGTGCACAGCCAGCCCAGCCGAGCCAGGTTCGATTCCTCTGCCCCTCTCGGAGAGCCTGGCAAGCTACCGAGAGTATTCAATATGCCAAACACAGTAACAAGAAGTCTCACAATGGAGATGTTGCTGGGCCCACTCAAGCAAATCGATGAACAATGGAAGGACAGTGTGATTATCCTAATATTTTTATTAGCTCTATGCTCTAACCAGCTGAGTTAACTGGCCACTGTTACCCTAATATTTCTTTTATTTATTTATTTATTTATTTGCTTTTTGGGGTCACACCCGGTGATGCTTAGGGGTTCCTCCTGGCTCTGCATTCAAGAATTACTCACGGCGGTGCTTGGGGGACCATACGGTATCCCGGGGATTGAACCCGGTCCGCTGCATGCAAGGCAAATTCCCTCCCTGCTGTACTATTGCACTGGCCCTAATTTTTCTGGGGTTTTTTTTTTTTTTTTTTTTTTTTTTTTTGCTTTTTGGGTCACACCTGGTGATGCACAGGGGTTCCTCCTGGCTCTGCGCTCAGGAATTACCCCTGGCGGTGCTCAGGGGACCATATGGGTTGCTGGGAATCGAACCCGGGTCGGCCACGTGCAAGGCAAACGCCCTACCCGCTGTGCTATTGCTCCAGCCCCCATAACCTAATATTTCTTATAGGTCAGAAGTAACTGGTCAGTTTTATTTGACCCTCCCCTGGGCTTTGCCGACGTTTTCCTGTGGTCAGTGTGGCCTGGCACTAATGCTGCTGTGCCTTCTCGGAATGTCCCCGTCCCAGTGTCTTGCTGCTCTGGTGACTTTGGTCGTGTCTCTAAAATTGTGTTGGGGATATTTTGAGATTTTGCAAATATCTGCTTCTCATTTTGCCTTCTCAAATTCTAGCTTTCATTGGTAATTATTACCTACGAAAAAGTGCGCTGTGATGTTAATCTAATGATGATTTTCTGTCTGCGCGATTGCTTTACGATTGCTCATTTAAACCGGTGTGGACTTGGAACTTTTAGTTTTTGTAGTAATTGCAAGTCACCGCTGTTTATCTTCTTGCTCCAGTTGTCCTGGGTTTGGCCACTGGGTGTCCCTTCACCTTGACCCCAGTGGGACTGTCAGTGAACCCCCCCACCTTGTTTTTGCGAGTCTTCTATTTTCAGTGCTAGCCACTGTTGCTGAGGGTGAGCGCACTAACTTCAGTTGTTCTCTCTCTAGATTGCCCTGGGTGTGCTGGGGGGACTGGCTGTCCTGTCGTCTCTTCTGAGGACAGCAGGGTGGAAGAGGCGCATCGCGAGTCCCATGATAGATTTGCAGGTACGATCTCGGGGGCTGCGTTAGTTCACTGTGGTCTTTGGACTGTTAGGTTTCGGGAGTTTGCTGGGAGGCAGGTGACTTGGACCGCGTCTCGTGGTACTTGGGGCTCAGTCCTGGCAGTGCCCGGCCCCGGGGACACACCAGTGCTCGCCCCGTCCAGGGCAGACACCTTCACCCTGTGTTCTCTCCCTGACGCTCTTGACTGTTTTGTTTCATTCTCATCAGACACAGCTAGAGGTTGAGTAAAACGATGCCTTGTTTTTTTGTGTGTGTGTCACACTCAGCGATGCACAGGGGTTCCTCCTGGCTCTGCACTCAGGAATTACTCCTGGTGGTGCTCGGTGGTGCTGGGAATCGAACCTGGGTCGGCCGCGTGCAAGGCAAACGTCCTCCCCACTGTGATATTGCTCCAGCCCCACGATGCCTTGTTTCTTGGGGCATACAACGGGGAGAGGTTTAAGCATGCTCAGTGCCCTCTGCATTGCTGTCGTCACTTTTATTCACAGTACTCTTTTTATTTTTATTGTTTTGCATAGGGCTGGAGCGATAGCACAGCGGGTAGGGCGTTCGCCTTACACGCGGCCAATATGGCCGACCCGAGTTCGATTCCTCCGCCCCTCTTGGAGAGCCCGGCAAGCTACCGAGAGTGTTCGATATGCCAGACACAGTAACAACAAAGTCTCCAATGGAGACGTTACTGGGCCCGCTCGAGCAAATCGACGATCAACGGGAGGGCCTTTACCTTTACCTTTATGTTTTGCATACTCAGCACTTCCTCTTGGCAGGGCTCGGGCGTCAAACCCGGTCCCCGCGTGCCGAGCAGGCACCCGACCTGCTGTGTTTGTCCCAGCCTCCGGCCGTGCACTCGGCTCCCCACATCTTCACCAGCACTTGCTGTGTCTCCCTTCTTTGCATTTTCCCCAGTCCAGTGGGATTGGTGATTTATCATTGTTGAGTTAATTTTTTTTTTTTTCTTTTTGGGTCACACCCGGCAATGCACAGGAGTTACTCCTGGTTTATGCACTCAGGAATTACTCCTGGTAGTGCTCGGGGGACCATATGGGATGCTGGGAATCGAACCCGGGTTGCCTGCGTGCAAGGCAAACGCCCTGCCCACTGTGCTATTGCTCCAGCCCCCTTGATTTAGTTGTTAATTTAATTATTAATAAGCATGAACATTTACATTAACTATATGGTAGATTGCTGAATATATTTATTTATTAACTTTTATTTCTCGCTCATTCTTTTCTGTTTGTTTTTTGTTTTTTGGGCCAACCCAGCAGTGCTCAGGACTTCTTCCTGACTCTGTGCTCAAAGATAACGACCAGCAGAGCCTGGGGGCCCTTATGTGTCCTGGGGATTGAACCAGGGCTAGACGCCCTCCCCACTGGACTGTGAGTCTGATTTTTATGTTCTTGTTTTGTTTGGAGGTCACGCCTGGGCTTCATTCAGAGGTTTCTGCTCGAGGATTTCTCATTCTTTTCTCCTAAGTTTCCCTTGTCTCTGTTTTGGACTCAACGTCAGGTGGTGCTCAGGTCTCACTCTTGGCAGTGCTCAGGGCATCATCAGCGGTGCCGGGGACCAAACCTGGTTCAGTTGTATGCAAGCCTCACCTGGTGTCCTATCTCTCCGATCCTCTTTCTAAGCTTTTAGAACTCATTTTTGGGTTTCCACTTCTGTGAGTTCTGTTTGTAAGCTGCATCCACTTTCCGATCGGGCCTTTGGTTTCTCTTGTGCAGAGAAGGCTGGTCGCTTGGGGTGTCCAAGTGCCACGCCCCTGTGGCCTTTGGTGTTCAAGCCTCCATTTCTGAGCCCTCTGCTCACCTCCGAAGTTCTCCTTTTTGATATTCTCACATCTGAAAATTTTTATATTTTAGAGTATGCTTTAGGAAAATGTTCCCTTTCTCGAAATCACAAAGAGATTTCCTGTGTTTAATTTTTTTCGTTTGTTTTTTATTTTTCTTTAAAGAATATTCATTTCCTTTGTGCTGTGCACTTTAAAAAAAACTTGTACAATGCTCTTAACCTTCACAGTACTATGTAATTACTACCGAGTATCTCGCCTGCACGGCAAAGCCTGGCAAGCTACCCGTGACATATTTGATATGCCAAACACAGCAACAACAAGTCTCACAATTTGTTGTGAGACGTTACTGGTGCCTACTCGAGCAAATCGATGAAAAATGGGAGGACAGTTCTACAGTGCTACTAGGTCATTAGCATTATTATTACCATTCCCCTTTACATATGATGAAATCGAGTTAGAGATTAACTAAGTTTTCCACTTTAACCTTCATGGCCCAGTGCAAAGGTGGCATTTCCATTTTGTTCATGAAGAAATGTGAAAGGCTCCGGAGAGAATGCTTGGAGCTGGGAGGACATCCGAATTCCGTAGCCAGTGTGCTAAGGACTTGGGGAGGGGCCGGATTTACCGTTTGCGTAGTCAGGAAAGGCCTAACAGAGAAGGGGACTTAAGACGCAGTTACCTGTGTGTTTCACAGTCACCTCCCAAATGAACTGGGAAGACTCAGCGTCCACAGACGGGAGGAATCTGTGAGGAAGCAATGCCCATTTTTGCCCAGAATAACTGGAGATAGGTAAAAGGAAGGAGTAGGAGCAGGGGTGCGACTCAGGGCTAGGTCCCTGTTTTGCATATATGGGATCTGGGTTTAATCCTTGAAACCTCAAAACAGCACACAAGCACACAGACCAAAAAAGGTACAGGTCTGTAGTCATTGAATAAACGGCACTGACGGAGAAAGCAAAAGCTCGCTTTAGTTCATTGATGCGGGCCTTGTGGGTCAGGGTGAGGAATCACACACAGGTGAGGTGTCTCTGCGTGCCAGGAGGGGACAGGCCGCGGTGTCATTTCCTTTTCCGGAGGCCGGGGCTATGGCAGGGTGGAGATCGGGCTGTGATGCAGGTTGTGAGCTTGGAAGCAAACTGACTTGGTTAGGTGCTGGAAGATGAGAAAGGCTGGGCACCTTTGGGAATAGGAAGAACACAACAGTTTCCGGGAAGCCGCTGTGCACAGTCCGTAGGACGAGAAACAGTCCCTTGGGCTTGAGGAACTGGACAGGTGGTACGTCAGTGAAAGTGACTGTACAGAAGAGGTGAAGTCTCTGACCGCTATCGCCCTCTTTCTGAACTGCAGACCTTCATGAAGTTCTTGGTCTACTATGCGGGTGACCTCGCCAATGTCTTCTTCATCATCACCGTGGGGACAGCGCTCTATTGGCTGATTTTCTTCAAAGTGAGTTTGTTTTTGACTTGAGCATATGCCAATGGCTGCATAGCTGGTAAGCGGTATTCTTTTTTTTTTTTTTCTTTTTGGGTTATGCCGGTTGATGCTCAGGGGTTACTCCTGGCTCTGTACTCAGGAATTACTCTTGGCGGTGTCAGGGGACCATATGGGATGCTTGAAATTGAATCTGGGTCGGCTGCATGCAAGGCAAACGCCCTACCCACTGTACTTTCCAGCCCTACCCTCTGTATGCCCTACCCACCGGTACGCTCCAGCCCTGTAAGCAGTCTTCTTTTTTTTTTAATATACTTTTTTTTTTTTCTTTTTGGGTCACATCCGGCGATGCACAGGGTTTATTCCTGGCTTTGCACTCAGGAATCACTCCTGGCGGTGCTCAGGGGACCATAAGGGATGCTGGTAATTGAACCCAGGTCAGCCGCGTGCAAGGCAAACACCTTACCTGCGGTACTATCACTCCAGCCCCATGTACGTGGTCTTCTTAAAGGAACTATTTGGGATATTTTTGACCGCAAGGATGGAGGCAAGCGCTAAGCTCCCCTTCCCGGGGCTGCTGTCACTGCATTCCTGTTGTGCTCTCTTTCATGCAGACGTGGGGCTTAGTAACTGCCTGTGGCAATATGTGATCATGTTTCTAACATGATTTTTTTTATCAAAGGCTCAGAAGTCAGTCTCTGTTTTGCTACCAGTGCCAGCTCAGGAAGAACGTTTTGTTACTTATGTGGGATGTGCTTTTGCCCTAAAGGTAAGTTTTAAAGGACAGGTCACTGAATTTAAAAGGCATACTGTTAAGCTTTGCCAGTAAAATGTAAATGCTTTTAGAATCTTTGGTGAAAGCTTCCTTTTGTAAAAAGCATGAATTATTCTAATTGCAGAGGAAGTTTACTTTTTAAAAAAAACTTTTTGGGGTCATATCCAGTGATGCTCAGGGGTTACTCCTGGCTCTGCACTCAGGAATTACTCTTGGTATGGCTTGGGGTACCATGTGGGGTGCCAGGGATCGAAGCTTGGTTTGCCTAGTGTAAGGCAAATACCATGCCGACTGTACTGTCTCTTTGACACATTTAAACACACTGCTTCCATAGATGAAACAGATGTGTGTCAGTAGTATTTCATTTAAGATAATTGATTTCAGTACCAAAGTCAGAAAATGAAACAGTGAGAACATCCTGAATGAAGCAACCTTAGACAAGTAAATTAGAGTTGAAAAATTTCTTCGCTTGTGAAGAAGTCTGATGATTCAGAAGTCAAGTATACTTTCAGAAAGTGTGGCCAAGAGTCACTTGTGCAAGGGTCTTGTGTGAGTGAGAGGAGGCGTTTGCCCCACTGGAAGGGGCCAGAGAGAGTACATGGATCAGAGTATTTGCTTTGCATGTGGCTGACCCCAGTTTAATCCTGGGACACATTTGGTCTCTCCAGTCCTGCCAGGAGTGATCCATGAGCACAGAACCAGGAGTAAGTCCTGAGCACTGCCAGGTGTGGCCCAAACACGACCTTCTGCCAAAAGAAATGTGGAAGAAAGAAAGGCAAATATATATGTGAACGTTCCATGAATTTGTTGATTCCAGATCATTTGATGAAATCCTAATGTTATCATAACTTCATTTGTTGTTCGCAGAAGTTGCATTCTGTGACTGTGTTTGTTTCTTAATCAGTCTTCGTTTCTCAGGCAACCTTAATGGACTTTGGGGTGTTGTGTTTGTCATTCTCAGGCTCTGCAATTTTTGCATAAGCTCATATCCCAGATTACCATAGATATATTCTTTATCGATTGGGAGAGGCCTAAAGGAAAGGTTCTCAGAGCTATTGAAGGTAACTGACAAAAACAGTTTCTACCAAAATCTTCTGCTGCTTTCGTGGATCAAAGAAGGTGAGTCACATTTGCTCACTTACTTCTTCCTGACCCAGGCGAGGGTGGTGTTCGGAGTTCAACTGTTCCTGTCAGCATATGGAGGACATATTTTGTAGCAAATGAATGGAACGAAATTCAGGCTGTGAGAAAAATCAATCCACTCTTTCAAGTAGTTTCCGTCCTCTTCTTCTTGGAGGTAGGAGCTCTCGGATGTTTTTGTGTATATCTTTAGGATACTGCATCACTGTTGATGTTGTATAACTCCAGCTAAGTTTCCAGGTCTACAAACAAGTTTTTTAAGGGTTAAATATTGTTCTCTACTAAAAGATGTGGCTTAAAAGTTTTTTTTTTTTAATTGAAGCTACACAGTTACAAAGTTGTTCATGATTGGGTTTCAGTCATACAGTGTTCCAACACCCGTCCTGTTCCAGTGCACGTTTTCTGCCACCAGTGTTCCCGGTCTCTGTCTCTGTCTCTGTCCCTCCCTCTGTCCCTCCCTCCCTCCCCCTCCTTTCAGCATGCAGTTCATGACCAGAGTGATCATTTTCAATCATATCATTGTCATAGTGGTCCCTTCTCTGTCCTAACTGCCCTTTGCCCCCCACCCACTTGTGGCAAGCTTCCAGGTGCAGACCAATGCTCCTGGCCAGAGGTGTGGCTTTAAAAAAAAACTGTGGTAGGAATACATACTTTGAGATTCGCCATCTTACATTTTTCTGATTTTTTTTTTTTTTTTTTGCTTTTTGGGTCACACCCGGCGATGCTCAGGGGTTACTCCTGGCTCTGCACTCAGGAGTGACTCCTGGTGGTGCTCAGAGGACCATATGGGCTGCTGGGCATCGAACCTGGCTTGGCCGCGTGCAAGGCAAATGCCCTACCCGCTATGCTATCGCCGTCTTACATTTTTCTCTATCTAGTTCAGGGTGCTGACTGCACCTGCGTTGCTGTTTGACCAGCCGCCAGAGGCCTGTCTTCTTCCCTCATGAAACCTCAACTCCAAATCCCCTAAACAGCTCTTGCTCACCGTCTGCTAGCTGCCAGCCACCACCTTTCTATTGTATGCTTATTTGTTTCTCTATAGGGTTTGGGGGCCCCACCCCACAGTGCTCAGGACTTACTCCTGGCTCTGCACTGTACTCAGGAATTATTCCTGGTGGGGCTCAGGGGATCATGTGGGCTGCTGGGGATAGAACCTGGGTTGACCATGTGCAAGGCAAGTGCTGTACCCGCCGTACTGTCCTCTCCAGCCCTGCTGTTTTCTGCTTTTTAAAAATTTGCTTACTCTCGATAAGGATGGCCTTTAAGACCACTTGGCTTATAGTCAGAGCCCCTGGCAAACTGTCTTGCCTCCCCCTGAAGATGGATTCAGTGCTTCTAAAGTGAGCCCAGATCTTTCTTTTTTCTTTTTCTTTTTTTTTTTTTAATTGAATCACCGTGAGATACTACACCGACCGGGTTGACCCGAGTTCGATTCCTCCGCCCCTCTTGGAGAGCCTGGCAAGCTACCGAGAGTATCTCGCCCGCACATCAAAGCCTGATAAGCTACCCATGACGTATTCGGTATGCCAAACACAGTAACAACAAGTCTCGTAATGGAGACGTTACTGGGCCCGCTCGAGCAAACAGCTTTTATACTTGAAAGCAGATGTTTTAAAATGGACTTTTGAGGAGAAGCCATGATGAAGTTTGGTCTAAAAATTATACTTTCCTCTACGCCTTTCGCCCTTGAAGAATAAAGGTTCTGCAAGTTTCATAGTAAAGAAATCTTGGGCCAGTGCAATAGTACAGTGGGGAGGGCGCTTGCCTTGCATGTGGCTGACCCGGGTTCAATCCCCAGATACACACACACACACACACACACATATATATATATATATATATATATATATATATATATAATTTATTTATTTAAAGAGACCTTGATCTACAAAGTTGTTTATAACAGGGTTTCAGGCATAGAGTGTTACCACCTTCAGTCACCTCCTTCACCAATGGTCCTAGGTAGTTTGGGTCCCATGCATAAAATGCTATTTTATAGATCAATTTGAGAATCATTGGATTTAATGGTAGCTATACTTCCTTAACATAAAGACTTCCTATAGCCTTCTCTTTTTTATTTTTTTGTTTTGCTTTGTTCGGGGGCCACACCCAGTCGTGCTTAGGACTTGCTCCTGGCTCTGTGCTTAGGGACCCCCTCCTGTCAGGACTTGGGGGACCCAGAGGGGTTCTGGGGATTGAACCCGGGTCAGCCACATGCAAGGCAAGCGCCCTCCCCACTGTACTATTGCACTGGCCCAAGATTTCTTTACTATGAAACTTGCAGAACCTTTATTCTTCAAGGGCGAAAGGCGTAGAGGAAAGTATAATTTTTAGACCAAACTTCATCATGGCTTCTCCTCAAAAGTCCATTTTAAAACATCTGCTTTCAAGTATAAAAGCTGTTTTGTGTGGTACCTGGCTTATCTTTAAAACTCATGAATTACCGGTTTACTAAAGAAAATCTTACTCTTTTAAAGCTTCGTACTGGTATGTCTTAGAGTGTGGTTGTATTTTTCATATCAACGAGAAATGAGCAAAGCATTCTTTATTAGTACACTTTGTAATTAGATACTAGGTAGCACTGTAGCACTGTCCTCCCGTTCACCTATTTGCTCGAGCGGGCACCAGTAACGTCTCCATTGTGAGACGTGTTGTTAACTGTGTTTGGCATGTCGAATATGCCACGGGGAGCTTGTCAGGCTCTGCTTTGTGGGCGGAATACTCTCGGTAGCTTACCAGGCTCTCCGAGAGGGACGGAGAAATCAAACCCGGGTCGGCCGCGTGCAAGGCAAAACGCCCTACCCACTGTGCTATTGCTCCAGCCCCCCATACTGGGTAATTACCGGAATTTAGATGCACTGCTTTGTCACATGTCAGTGTTCTCACTTATCAAGGTAAAGGTAAGGAAGAAGTAGGACTGGAGCGATAGCACAGCGGGTAGGGCGTTCGCCTTACAAGCGGCCAACATGGCCGACCCGAGTTCGATTCCTCCGCCCCTCTCGGAGAGCCCGGCAAGCTACCGAGAGTATTCGATATGCCAGACACAGTAACAACAAAGTCTCCAATGGAGACGTTACTGGGCCCGCTCGAGCAAATCGACGATCAACGGGAGGGCCTTTACCTTTACCTTTAGGTAAGGAAGAAATAAGTCTTATTTTCAGAGCAGAGAAATTTTCAAACTCTAAGTCCATTCCTATATTTCCCTATTTCAGGTTGTGGGGTTCAAGAACTTGGCACTGATGGACTCATCCTCCAGCCTTTCCAGAAGCCCTGCCAGCTACGTTGCTCCCGACAGCCGCATTTTGAGATATGCTGTGTCAACTGCCCTGTGGCTCACCATTGGCGTTCTACAAGTAACACGAGATTTTTACTTCTTTTTTTTTTTTGAATTACCCCTGGAGGTGCTCAGGGGACCACATGGGATGCTGGGAATCGAACCCGGGTTGGCTGTGTGCAAGGCAAATGCCCTACCTGCTTTGCTATCGCTCTAGCCCCAGATTTTTACTTTTAAGCTGTCTTACCTCTCTGTATTTGAAATTCTGTTTATGATACATCGTGTTAAATATCAACTGTCTCCTGGGGTCTGTTGCCCGCAGGTGACAAGGACAATAACTATTGTTCATATGTACTAGTATAGCTTATGGAGCGTTTAGTTTATATGGTGTCATGGTGCATTGATCTTTATAACCTGGATCTTTTTAGTAGCCCCTTGACTTCTTATGTTTCTGTTGTTTTTATATTACAGATAAGGACACTGAGGTACAAAAACATTAAATTGCTTAATATCATGCAGAGTGATTGCAGAACTGGAATTTGATTTCAGTCTGATTTCAGAGTTCATAATCTATCTTATCAACAGGGTTTTTGAAGAGTCTTTTAGATTCTGAAGCTTTTAGTCATGGAATAAGCTATTATTGTTGATAATATCATTATTGGGCTGGAGCGATAGCACAGCGGTAGGGCGTTTGCCTTGCACGCAGCCAACATGGCCAACCTGAGTTCGATTTCTCCACCCCTCTCGGAGAGCCCGGCAAGCTACCGAGAGTATCTCGCCCATACGGCAGAGCCTCGATATGCCAAACACAGTAACAACAAAGTCTCCAATGGAGACGTTACTGGGCCCGCTCGAGCAAATCGACGATCAACGGGAGGGCCTTTACCTTTACCTAATATCATTATTACGGCATCCTTAATGTTTTCTTTTTATAACTGTAACTTATTTATACTTATGCAAAATACATTCTCATCAAATTGACAGTATTTTTTTGGGGGAAATTTTATTAGCAATAGTTACTTAAATAATCATGGTCACAGTCCTCCCCTTGTTCATCGATTTGTTTGAGTGGGCCCAGTAACGTCTCCATCATGAGACCTGTTGTTACTGTGTCTGACATATCGAATACGTCACGGGGAGCTTGCCAGGCTCTTTCGTGCGGGCGAGACACTCTCGGTAGCTTGCCGGGCTCTCCGAGAGGGCCGGAGGAATCGAACTCGGGTCAGCCATGTTGGCCTCTTGTAAGGCAAACGCCCTACTGCTGTGCTATTGCTCCAGTTCTACTTAAATAATGGGAAGTAAAAATAAATTATTTTAAATCTTCAGGTACTGTGACGCCAGTAGGGTAATTTTTTCCTGTATTTATTTTCTTACCTTTTTCTTCTTCTCTCTCTCCTTTTTTGTTTTTTGGAGGGATTTGGGGGTCATGCCCAGCAGTCCTCAGGGGTTCCTCCTGGGTCTGCACTTAGGGATCACTCCTGGTGGTGCTCGGGGGACCATATGGGATGCCGGGGATGAAACCTGGGTCAGCCACGTGCAAGGCAAATGCCCTCCCCGCTGTACTATCGCTCCAGCCCCAAGTTTTCCGTTTGGATGTCGCTGTTTTTCGTGTCGAGTACCTGAGGTGGGGTTGCAGTTTTGTGCAGAGTGTGTAGGAAAGTGTCCCAGCTGTCACATCCTGTGCGTGTGTTCTTGTGTCGGGACATGTCCATGTGCCCTGCACCGTGCTCAGCTCCCAGATGCCCTCACGAAAACGAGATACCTGTTGTGATCAGTGCTGTGAGGGCCTCAGCAGAGATGATAGTCAGTGCAGGGGGCCGTGGGGACCTCTTGAAACGGCCTGCTTAGGAAACGCTACCTTTTTCTGAGCAGATCTTAAGAGACTTCTGTGAAAACCTTTTGGTTTGTAAATTTTTTCTTTTTAGAATTATTGAGACAACAATTGAAATCATAACCATTTGAATGTTTGGCACATTACCTGCAGTTGAAATAGTGCTTAAAGTGCTTCTTGGGACTGGAGCAATAGCACAGCGGGTAGGGCCTTTGCCTTGCACGCGGCGAACCCGGGTTTGATTCCCAGCATCCCATATGGTCCTCTGAGCACCACTAGGAGTAACTCCTGAGTGCAGAGCCAGGAGTAACCCCTGTGCATTGCCAGGTGCGACCCAAAAAGCAAAAATAAAATAAAATAAAAATAAAAAATAAAGTGCTTCTTAAGTGCTACTCATCCAAGAAGGTTAATTTGAAAAGCAACTTTTCCAGTGACTTTGGAGCTAAGGAGAATCAAACATAAGGCTGGCCATTCATTGTTGGTTTTCCCTAAATATTTTAAAATTTAAAATGCGCCCTCAGCGAATGTAAACGTGTACAAAAATCAGTTCTTTGGCAAAAGGATAAAAAAATGACAGGTAAGAATTTTCTCCCACGGGAAACATTATAGGCTACTGTATTATTTGGTTGGAACTCTTTTTTTCTCCTTTATTATACTGTGACTATAAAAGAAAATTAAATTCTAAAAGTTAATAAGAGTGAACTTGGCTTACTGTTTCAGATCATGTTCTTTGCTGTCTTTTACGAGAGATTTATAGAAGATAAAATTCGGCAGTTTGTTGATTTATGCAGTATGAGCAATGTGAGTACTTTTGGCTTTCGCTTCCGACTTTCATTTTTCCCTTCTTAAAGGTCATGAGTACATGAAAAGAGGCTTTAAAAGTGATTTGGTATGATTGGATTTTTACTCTAATTTACACTGGTTGTTAACCTCAGAGATAAATTGTTGTAATAAGCTACAGGTTAATATTTAAGTGCTTTAGTTTTTTTCTTCATTTGCAGTTTAATTACAAATTCCTTATGCCTCCGAGTATTTCACTCATTCCACAGCTATGTAAAGTTTTCATATATCAACTCCGTGTCTTTCCTGGAAAATATCTTCAGTATCTTTTCCATCAACTCATTATTCTTTATTACCTTATTATGTCTTTTAACATATTTTCCAAGAATTTAAACCTCATTATTTTGAAAGGGAACAGTTTTAAGAGAGCTTCATTTCCATTGCTTCCCATATGTGTTGCTCATTAATATTTTTCCTTCTTTTTTTCATAGATATCAGTGTTTCTGTTATCCCACAAATGTTTTGGATATTATATTCATGGTAGATCAGTACATGGGCATGCGGATACTAATATGGAAGAAATGAATATGAATCTTAAGAGAGAAGCGGTATGACTGTTTTATATCTTTTATTTTTGAGGTTTTCTTAACTCAAGATTAGTAATGATATACATATTATATCATGCATTATGTTTATGTATATTTTTAATCCTCATTACTTGGAACATTACTGAATGAAAATGATCAAATTTAATTTTGTAGTTTCTACGTGAACTGTATTTCCGAATAACAACAGCAATGACAAAAAGTACAGTGGGGAAAAGTACTTCCTTATTATAAGGAATTCTTGAAAATCAGCGTACTATAGTGACAAATGGATTAATGTATGAAGGCGACATCATCTATAGATGCTAAGACAATTAAGTGACCTTTGGCAAGAAACAGTAGAATGAGGACACACGGTGTCATTATCTGTACACGCTTGCTCAATCTTATTTCAAATAAACATGGGAAAAATTTGTTAACAGACCTCAGTTTGGATGCTTACCAACTGAAGGCCATTCACTTAAGAGGAAAGGTTGTGGGTTAAACAAGAGTCTGTTCACATCCTAACATGAAAATATGGTGAACGTCTTGTCCTCAGAAAAACCCGTCTTACTCTCAGGCTTGCTGGGAAAGTAAGTTAGAAGAATTTTATGGTCATGGGCTAGGCCAAAAGGGAGTCCTGTCTCAGTACAATCCAGACTGGTGCCTGGTGAATAAGTCCCGGGCAGTCGTTTGAAATAACTTGGTCCAGTAACATCCTTCGCTGGGGTCTGCATGATCCACTTTGAGAGCCTTTCCAGAGAGCCTGGTGCTTGCCCTTTGCCCTTTGACCCCTTCCCGGGCCTGGTGTTCTTTAAACACGAGATCCACGAGAGCCTCTCTTAGCATTGAGACACAGGACCAGGGTCCAAAGAAAACGAGAGGTTATAAGAAGTACAGGTACTTGTTCTATGACGAACAAGATGGAAACTTAGGAACTTAGGGGATAAAAATCTGTATCTGGGGGCTGGAGCGATAGCACAGCGGGGAGGGCGTTTGCCTTGCACGCAGCCAACCTGGGTTCGATTCCCAGAATCCCATATGGTCCGCTGAGCACGGCCAGGAGTGATTCCTGAGTGCAGAGCCAAGAGTAATCCCTGTGCATTGCTGGGTGTGACCCAAAAGGAAATATATATATATATATATATATAAAATGTGTGTGTGTGTGTGTGTGTGTGTGTCTGTACATATAAGGAGCAAGACAGTCTGATGTTGCTGACCAACAGATGGACAGGACGAACTTAACTTTGTTCGATGTGGTCAGATCCCATTCTTGCCCAACTCTGTGGTGCTGAATATAATCAGGCCTCGAGATCTAACCGGTTTTCAGGAAACACAGGAGCACTGAAGCACAGATGAAACAGTAGTGCCTGAAGCAAATTTGCCGGATCCGTAATGAAGGCGGCCTCCCGGGACAGAGAAGCCAGTGTCCCCAGCAGAGCAGTCTCGTGAAACGGAAGGGGTGGGTGGTCGCGGTGGAAGAGCATTAGGGACTCAGGAGACAGAATCAGCAGACTGGGGAGAGAGTCCAGCGGGAAAGATGCTTGCCTTCCGAGCAGCCCTCCAGGATTCAGTCCGCAGCACCTTCAGGAGTGACCCCCCAGTGCAGAGTCAGGAGCAAACCCTCAGACTTCCAGGCGCTGATGCCAGCTCAGTAGGCCTGATCTTGAGAGGGGCCAGGAATAGCCACCAGGGCCAGAGCATGGTTGTCGCCCGGTGGCCTCAGCACAGGTCTTAGTTTCCAACCAGCCGGCAGACCCACACAAACAGACTTCAGTGGAGCTTAGAGGGCTGCCTGAGGAACCTTGGGGGAGGTCTCTGTCTCAAACTGTAGTGCCAGGAAAATGTCAGTGGAATTCTGATTATTGTAATATGCGATGCAAAATGAAAGTGTTGCATTTTCTTTTGGAAATAGATAAAAATGTTATTTATCTGGCATGGGGATGGGTGGGGGAGCTGGGGAGGAAGGGAATCCCACACTGGCGATGATGCTCGACCCGTGCTCAGGACTCTGCACTCAGGGCTCAGTCCTGGTCGGGCTCAGGGGACCGTTTGTGGTGCCGGGCATGAGCCAGGATTGGCTGTATGCAAGGCAAGCGCCCGGTGCACTGTGCTACCTCTCCGGCCCCCAAAATGTTACACTTTTAAAAGAAAAAAATTTATTATTATTTTTTTATTGAATTACCGTGAGGTAGAAAACTGTTCCTGATTGGGTTTCAGCCATAGAGTGTTCCAATACCCATCCCTCTGCCACTGAACATTTCTCAGCACCTGTGACCCAAGGTTCCCTCCAGCCTGTTCAAGCCAGACCCACCCCAGCCTGCCTCTATGGCGGGCGCCTCTCTTCTCTCCCTCCCTCTCTCTTTCTCTCTCTTCCTCCGTCTCTCTCTTTCTCTCTCTCCTCCCTTTCCCTCTCTCTCTTTCACTCTCTCTCTCTCCCTCCCTCTCTCCTGTCACTTTCCCTCATTTTAGGCATTATGGTTTGCAGTGAATGTTACCATTTTAATCGTAAAATTTTCACTTTTTAGGAAAATTTGTGTAGCCAAAGAGGTTTGGTACCTAACACTGACGGCCAGACTTTTCAGATTGCAATTTCTAGCCAGATGAGACAACACTACGACAGAATCCATGAGACACTAACCAGGGTATGTACAATGGCAGGTTTATTTAGTCAGTGTTTCACGTTACTCAAATCTAAGACTGCATGACGTGTTGCTCTTCCTTTTGTCTTTTCTGTTAGAAAAATGGCCCTGCCAGACTATTGAGTTCATCAACAAACACTTTTGAGCAGAGTATAAAGGCATATCACACCATGAATAAATTTCTGGGCTCTTTCATTGATCATGTATGTATTTTGGCATTTTATATTTAAACTTCTTAAACAACTCGTAAAAGGTCAACTAGGAATGTTAATTTTTTTTTCAGCCAATTAAGGGGATAAAAATGCTTCAGGGGAGTTCTTTGCCCATCCCACAGTTGCAGGGGCTCTTCCTGGCGCTGGTCAGGAGTGATCCCAGATGGTGCCCATGTTACCCACTGTGGTGCCAGCAAGCGCCTGACCCTCTGAACTCTCCCTCCGCCCATTGCTGAGCTTTCCTTTTTGGCTGTCAAAATTAATGCTGCAGTTACGGAATAGAATTAGGTTTGCATAAATTTCAGATGAGATTGTATGTGTCTTTAGGTTAATGAGATTGCCTGATTACCTCACATTATGCATTAGAGTTTTAAAGTCAACTATCAGAATATTAGTGTATAATTCATTGTAGAAATATGTTATTCTTTGATTGTGCATCTAAGAACCTTGTTATATATATATATTTTTTTTTCAAATATATCCAACTTGGAATACTACCAAGGGAATTTTGTTGTAAAACCCAGTATGTAAGTTCACTATTTTTTTTTTTTTTTTTTTTTTTTTTGCTTTTTGGGTCACGCCCAGCAATGCACAGGGGTAACTCCTGGCTCTGCACTCAGGAATCACTCCTGGTGGTGCTTGGGGGACCATATGGGATGCTGGGAATCGAACCCGGGTCGGCCGCGTGCAAGGCAAACACCCTACCCCCTGTGCTATCATTTTAGCCCCTATTTTTGAAGAACAGATTTTTGTGTGTACTATGTGTCTTTCATTCTCTCCCTTAATTTTACATTAATTGAGGTGCATTTGTTTCACTGCTGTTTTTAAAATAATATTTTTTTATACTAGGTTCATAAGGAAATGGACTACTTTATAAAAGATAAGTTGCTTCTCGAAAGAATTCTCGGAATCGAATTTATGGAACCAATGGAAAAAAGCATCTTTTACAATGGTATTCTTTCATCCTTTATTATTTTAAAATTTTTCTTTATTTTATTTTGTAAAGATTTTATTATTGAATCACTGTGAAATAGGCACTTACAAAGCTGTTCATGATTGGGTTTCAGCCCTACAGTGTTCCCGCACCCATCCCTCCACCAGGGCACATTTCTCAGCACCAGGGTCCCCAGCTTCCCTCCCATCACCCCACAGCCTCTCCTCTCCCCCCCTCCTTTCCTTGCTCCCCGCCCCCCCCACCCTCGGACATTGTGGTTTGCAATACAGATGCTGAAAGATTTTTCATACGGATACTTTCAGCACTCTGTTCTTATCCAGCGTGGTCATTCCCAACTGTTACTGTCATCCTGGTCCCGTCTCTGTCTTACCTTCCCTCCGTCCCACACTGTTTTACTGTTTTAAGTTTTAAGTTTGGACAAACTTGCAGGCTATCGAATGTCGCCTGCCCACAGGGCAGAGTCTGGCAAACTCCCCGTGGCGTACCAAATATGCCAAATACCAGTAACAATGATGGGTCTCATTCTCCTAAAGAGCCGTGAATATAATCTCAGGGCTAGGATGAAAGAGACGTTACTGGGGCCTGCTCGAGGCAATCGATGATTAACAGGATGATGAAATGAAATGAAAATGAAAAAGTTTTAAGAAAAGGACAGTTTATCATAGGTCTATATTGAGTTTTAAAATTTTCGATTCACATTGTGTATTGCCATTTTTGCAGATGAAAGTTATTCACTCACTAATGTCCTGTGGACCAAACCCCCACTCCCCAAAAAAAGAAAAGAGAAAGAAAATAATAACATTATTCAAATTCTTTTTTTTTAAATTTATTTTATTTTTTAGTTTTGGGGGCCACAGCCAGTAGTGCTCAGGGCTTCCTCCTGGCTATACTCCTGGCTATATATTCAGGAATCACTTGTGGCACGTTCGGGGAACTATATGGCATATTGGGGATCAAACTTGGGCTGGCAGCATGCAAGTCAGACACCCTACCAACTGTACACTCTCCCCAGCCCTAACATTATTAAAATCATTTAAAAATATATACATATTTTATATAAGCTGTCCAACCCCGAAGGTGACACACGGACTTAGAGTACTGGCCCAGCGGTCTCAGGTCCCTGAGCTCACGGCCCAAACCACAGCTGGTGAATATTAATGCCATCAGAGAACCAGATTTGGGAATCAGAATTACTATGGCAGCAGTAGCTAGGTTGAGTTCAGGAGATGTATACAGGCTGATAGTTTGACTCAGAGTCTAGCTTTCAGGGGCTGGAGAGAGAGAGTACAGCGGCTGGGGCGCGGACCTGGCATGCACCAGCCTGGATTCTGTCTCGGTCACCGCATGAGGTTCCCAGAGCCCTGCCAGGAGCCAGCCCTGAGCACTGGGGGTAGCCCCCAGGCTAAAAATAATAATAATTATAGCATGTGTGCGTGCGTGCGTGCATGCATGCGTGCGTGTGTGTGTGTGTGTGTGTGTGTGTGTGTGTGTGTGTTTGGGGAGGGCTTCAGTTGTTGGATTTTTTTTTTTCTTTCTGTTTTTGGGTGACACCCAGCGATGCTCAGTGGTTACTCCTGGCTCTGCACTCAGGAATTACTCCTGGCAGTGCTCAGGGAACCATATGGGATGCTGGGAATCAAACCTGGGTCAGCCACGTGCAAGGCAGATGCCCTACCCACTGTACTATCACTCCAGTCCCCAGTTGTTGGTTTTGAATAAAAATTCTGATCTCAGTAAATCTTAACCATTTACTTTTTTGTGTTCACTCTTTCTCTGTTTAAATTGGTAAAACTCCTTATATAACTATATGTATATGTGTGTGTGTGTATATATATATATCACGGTCACGGTCACGGTCCTCCCGTTGTTCATTGATTTGCTCAAGCAGGCACAGTAATGTTTCCATCGTGAGACTTGTTGTTACTGTGTTTGGCATATCGAATATGTCACAGGGAGTTTGCCAGGCTTTGCCGTGTGGGCAAGATACTCTCGGTAACTTGCCGGGCTCTCTGAGAGGGGCGGAGGAATCGAACTTGGCTCGGCCATGTTGGCTGTGTGCAAGGCAAAGTCCTACCCACTGTGCTGTCGCTCCAGCCCATATATATGTGTGTCTATATATATATGTCTAATACATATGTCTAATATATATATAGACACACATATGTATGTATATAGATATAGATATAGATATAGATCAGGTATGGGCTGGAGTGATAGCACAGCAGATAGGGCATTTGCCTTGTAGGTAGCCAACCTGAATTTGACCCCTAGCATCCCATATGGTCCCCCGAGCATCGCCAGGAGTCATTCCTGAGTGCAGAGCCAGGAGTAACCCCTGAGCATCGCTGAGTGTGACCACACACCCCCCAAAAAAAAATCTGGTATGGACCATTCCCTGTGAGTATTGGTAGACACACAGGAAAAGGGTGTTAAAAATAAAAAATAATCTGTTTCAAAAATACAACCTTATTTATTTTTTAAATATATGTGCAGCATTATATATTTGTTGGAAATTGATTGCAGGTTTGTTCTGTTTTCTTTGTTTCTGATTCATATCATCTGTGACCTCTTTTACAGATGAAAGTTACTCATTCAGCAGTGTTCTGTATTATGGAAATGAAGGCGTTCTTCTTATCTTTGATCTGCTGTTCTTCTGTGTTGTGGATTTAGCTTGCCAAAATTTTATTTTAGCGGCCTGCCTTACATACCTACAACAAGAGGTAAATTAAATTAAAATTTGTTTTCTGGGTTCCTTTTAGAAGACTTATATTCGAAGTTGATATTTATTTTTATTGCATAGAGTAATAGTATTTACATTCAGAAATGATTATCCTCCCCCAAAGCAGTGTTTCAGGATAGAACCCCGTTCTGTCCTCTCCTTCAAGGTCAGTGAAATACTTGGGCCTCGAGGGGGCGTCTGATATCTGGAGGAAGTGTGAAGGAAATCTGGTGGGCAGTCGCCTGAACTGCTCCTTCCTGGACGGCAGCCTTCACCGTCAGTTCTGGGGGTTCCAGCACCCACACACTCCACAGGGCAGCCCCCAAGAGGCCCCAGCAACTCGCACATCTTCTTTCGTCTGGATTAAAAACATAACGTGTGGGTGGCTGTGGAGTCTGAAATGGAGATTGTCAGAAATGACAACCAAGTTTTTGAAATGCTATTATTAATAGTTATATAATAAAAACCCAGCTCCTGGAAGTGCGCAGCCACATTTGTGGCCGTGAAACATCTTATTATCTCGTTCTTACTTTGGACAATCTGGCAGGCTACCGAATGTAACCTGCCCACACGGAGAGTCTGGCAAACTCCCCGTGGTGTATCCAATATGCCAAATACCAGTAACAATGATGGGTCTCATTCTCCTAACCCTGAAAGAGCATTGAACATGGCACTTTTTAAAATCTCAGGGATAGGACCAAGGAGACGTTACTGGTGTCTGCTCGAGGCAATTGACGAACAACAGGATGGTCGTGATCGTGATCGTGATTATTAATGTTACCCACATACCCCCCAGTATGCCAAGGAAGCATGCAAATTAATAAAACGTTAATTGTTACAGACAAACTCTGTTTCTTCCAGGTAGATTCTTCTGATGTTTCCTTAGGTTTTAGAGCTAGAGAAAATTGCATTGCCAAGTTTTCTTCTTGTGGGTGCGAGAGGCCAGCAGGACTATCCCCATCGGTCTTTGGGAGACCAGAGGACCTTGGGGCCCACCCGGAGCCCGCACTTGTTGGCCTAGCTCTCCAACCCCTTCCCGACAGTCTCTGTGACCATGAGATTTGTATTCCCCAGAAAAATGTGTTCTAAATTAGAGATGCACTGCTTTGGTATTATTTAAGATGGTAATAGCCCTGCTTTGATGATGGCATTTAACATGATAATAGCCCTGACATAATTTTGTCTATCAGATCTCTAACACAGGAAAAGAGCCAGGAGAATCAGTTTGATTTAGGTATTTTAGTTGATGTGTATATTTAATTATCTTTCTGTGTATCCTCTTTTTATTCTTAATTGTTGAATTTCCTCCCCCAGATTTTTAGGTTCATCCGTATTACAGTAGGACAGAAGAATTTGGCATCCAAAACATTGGTGGATCAAAGATTTCTGATCTAACATGTTCAATAGCTCAAAGCCGCAATATTGTTATGGCAAAAATGTCATGACTTTCAGGTTTGTTTTTTAAAAGGATTTTTTACTGTTTTTATAAATCCACAGATTTATTTTTGTAGCTTTTATAAACATTTTTGTGTGTGTGAATACATAATGTGTTAGAATGGAAAATGTGATTTTCCTGTTATGTACTGTTCTTAATTTTCTATCTCATAAATTGCATAGGGCATAGGAGCTAAAGAATTCCACACGTTGCTTTCAACAGAAACCCTTAAGGATCCTCAGAGAGGTTTCCATTATTTTTATTTATCGATCATTTCATGATGGATATTGTCTAGTTTTTCACAGTGTCAAAATTATGTAATTCCAAGTTCAAGCCCAGTTTCCAGTCCGGTGTTTTCTCGTTTTATATATTTCATATCAAATAAATGTTGAAAATATTTCCAAAGTTGCCTGGACATTTTAAGTTGTATTTTTGGTGGCTCAATTTGTCGCATCTTAATTGCTCACCCTGGCAGTGGACTATTCAATAATGAGTTACGGGACATTACATGAAGGGATGTGTTCTCACCCCTTTGTACACCTGCTCTCTGAGATCAACATACCACATCTCTGGTATAATTTACCCTTATTCGGAGGCCTCATGAAAGTGGTCGGTTTTATTTATTAAAGTTTTTCCCTTGTTTATATTAAGCATCATGATGTAATAAACAGTTGCTGATAATGGAGTTTTATGCATTCAGCATTCCAGCACCTCCCTCAAGTAGCATTCCAGCACCTCCCATCAAGTAGCATACTCTTCCCTCGAGTAGCATTTGTTGTTCTTATTTGGTTATTGGTCACTTTGTGGAGCTTTTTTTTTTTTTTTGGCTTTTTGGGTCACACCCAGCAATGCTCAGGGGTTACTCCTGGCTCTGCATTCAGGAATCACTCCTGGCGGTGCTCGGGGGACCATATGGGATACTGGGAATCGAACCCGGGTTGGCCGTGAGCAAGGCAAACGCCCTACCTGCTTTCCTATTGCTCCAGCCCTCGTTTTTGTTTTTTAGAACAAGTTTATTGGAAAGCAAAAGAGAAACGTCCCTATACTTGGAAGAACATAGCAAAAGTCTGAAGTTCCCCTAGAGATTCCTAGACATTTTTAATTCACATTTTAAGACAGCTTCTGAATTTTTGTCCTTCGGTTATGTTAGAAATTTTCTTTGCTAACAGTAAATTTATCAAACTGTATTACAAGATAATTTTTCTTTTTTTTAAATTTATTATTTATTGAATCACTGTGGGAAAAGTTACAAAGCTTTCAGGTTTAGGTCTCAGTCATGTAAATATCAAACACATTTCCCTTTACCAATACTTATTTTTTACCACGAAGAACCCCAATAAAACCCCACCCCCCACCCCTCCCAGTTCCTGTGAGGCAGATGAATTCTAGTTAACACTCTATCTGCTTTGATTAGATTCACTGTTTCAATAAAAAATTCACCACTATTATTTAAAGTTTACCCCCCCCCCAAATCAGATATGCTGAAAAAGTATTGTGAAGTGATTTGCTTTCTACAGCTGGGTTCAAGAATTAAATGTCGCGCGGCCACTATTGTGCCCGCGCAGTTTTGGATTTCTGCTATTCTACTTCTTAACCCTGGAAGTATTTCTACTGAAAGTCAGATAATTAAGAGATTGGTTTCTGTGCTCTAGGGCCGTGGCCGTGCCGGAGAGCCGCTCGTGGGGGGCAACTAGTGACCTCGGTAGGGCGTGAGGAACGGGCCGGAACGCCACCCTTCCCATGAGGTTTTAGTCGCCCCCACACCCCCGGCTCAGACCTGCTCTCCACAAGGCTCCCATGCGGCTGCCATCTTTCTTTCCAGAGGGGAGCACAAGATAATTTTTCAAAGCAAACTTCATCTTAAGTCAGTAGATCTGTGGTTTTTGTGCTCTGCTTTGGGGCCGTTTGGGGTCTGCCGTGTGCTGGAGTTGGGCAGGGCTCACTCTGGGCCTCAGCAGGCACACTCAGCCCACGCAGCTCTCTCCAGACCCTGAATTTATTTATTTTTTTCATTTTTCATTTTTTCATTTCATCATCCTGTTGTTTGTTGATTGCCTCGAGCAGGCCCCAGTAACGTCTCTTTCATCCTAACCCTGAGATTATATTCAAGGCTCTTTAGGAGAATAAGACCCATCATTGTTACTGGTATTTGGCATATTTGGTACGCCACGGGGAGTTTGCCAGACTCTGCCCTGTGGGCAGGCTACATTCGATAGCCTGCAAGTTTGTCCAAAGTAGGAATGAGATGATAAGATGTCATAAAAGATGTCCTGATAAGATGTCACGCGGCCGCAAATGTGGCCGCGCGGTTCCGGGAGCTCATTTTTTAATGAGAAAAATTTAGAATTCAATCATTTTAAAGTGTGTGCTGTGTACTTATGAATCATCTTCTATAAATCATGTGAGAAGGTGAAGGTCTTGTACCCCAAAACTAAAAATTCTTACTGCTTTCTCTGTAGACTATATAGAAACTTAAATTTAACACAATGTAGCTGTTTTTTATATTTCTGAATTAAGAGTACAGAATAAAATATTTTGTGTGTCGGTTTCCTATTTGACTGATATGTATTTCCTAAAATAGTCATCATAAGTAAAATAAGTCTTATCTGGGGAGGGGCCCAAAGTTACCAAGATGGAATTTTTAAATTTTCTCTTAGTCTTGAGGACAACGGGAGAAAGAAGTGGGACTTAAGGAATGTTTGAAACTCCAGGTTTTTAGGCTCACAGTATGGAAAGGCTTTATGAGAGCCATGGGGGTAAATATGCCAGCATGGATTATCAAGGCCAGTCACTCAGAAACATACAAGAAAAATTCAACTCTTTTTCCATGTATGAGAAGTTAATATTAGTGTAAATATTTTTCCATATTTTTTATTAAAAAAATTTTTTTTTTATAAAATGGGCTGGCTTTTCAACTGCCAGAGAGAGAATGAGTGTGCGGTTGCTTATTTTTACATGGGGATCTTTAAACACCAAGGTGGTGGCAGAGAGTGTGCAGTTGATAGGTGCTTGCTGCACATGTGGTCTGGGCTCAATCCCTGGCACTGAGTAGGGTCCCACGAGCCCCGGGAGGAGTGGCTCAGTCTTCCAAGCCAAGGGTGAGCAATCACAGAACAAAACAAAAGTGGGGTCAGTCGACTCACCTCATGAAATGTAGAAAAAAAGGATTTTAAAATTACCTTAGCCATTCAGTATTATTTTAAAATCTTGTTTAGGTACTTAACGATACTCAGGTTTCGAACACTGTCAGCCCCTTTATTCACATGCCACAATTTGTGATCAGTGTAGTATCCCACGGGATCCATTTCCATGCATGTGTTTCTGCCTCATAAAATCTCTTATTTTGTGTCTTCTATCCCAAATCGTATTGAATGTTTATTAAAATATTTACCTAGAAGCGTTGGATGCATGAGCCATTTTATTTGGTTAGGAAAGAAACTCAGTTAACTAGAGGTTCCTGAGGAGCTACTGTGTACTCCTCAGAAAGAGACCGGTCCCTGAAGTTAATTCTGCAGATCAGTTGCACGGTTCTGAGATGTCAGTATTTGCTTCCTTCCCTGCCGTTGCTGTCTGAACTATGACTTGAGAAGGCTCTACTGGTTTCCAAGATTCAGACATTCAGAGTGAGCGTTATTAACTCACCTCACAAGCAGAGAACTTGAGATCCTTTTTGCTGCCTGTAAATAAAAGCTGAGCTGAGCTAAGAGTGAGGAGCACAGAGGCGTCCTGGGAAGGCATCAGCAGAAGCCTGGTGTCTGAGTGGGACTTGATCCTGTGACCGGGGAGCTTTGGTGCCTTAAGCCATCTGTCCTCCTTGTACTTTGTCCTGCATCTCCACGATGGAAATCATGGCCTTGGTCTGCTACTTGTAGGAATGAACTCATTAGGAGAGACGTAACAATTAGTCAGCTCTGAGCACTGGGGAGTTTATAATTTTTAGTGTAAAATCTGTTCCCGGGCCAGAGAGAGAGAGCACAGAAGTGCTGGGCTTGCCCGCGGTCCAGCCAGGGCTCAGGAGGTCCCCCGGGTGCTGGAAGGGGTGACCCCTGAACACAGCCAGAGGTGGCCCCAGCCCAAGGAATAGCATCTCTGCCTTTGGGTGCATTTTCCCACTGACTGTGGTGCTGCAGCAAAGGACAAACCTGAGCCCTGGGTTCGATCCCCCACACCTCATGAAACACCACCCAAAAGGCAGCCGCTAAATGTGTGTTCTCTCCAACTAACAAACCTAACAGTTAGATCCAGATTCTGGTTCTCAGTGACTGACCGTCAGAAACTCCCAGGCCTGTTTCTCCCACAGCCGCTCAGTGCTACTTCTGGAAGGGCTTTGAGGGAAGCAGAAGGGAAAGCCCTGTCAGCTCAGGGTGGGTGCTGCTCCCCGCTGGCTTACAGATGGGGCGGAGAGCTCCCCATCTGCTCTTTCAGTCACGGATTCAAGTATTTCTACAGCTCGTTCCTATCTCCAAAGTAGAGGAAATAGGAGGAATAGACACTAATCAGAGATAGGAAAAATAATCTAGGGATCACAGCAATAGCACAGCAGGGAGAGTATTTGCCTTGTACGTGGCCGACCCGGGTTCGATCCCAGGCATCTCATATGGTCCCCGAGCACCCCTAGGAGTAATTCCTGAGTGCAGAGCCAGGAGTAACCCTGAGCATCGCCAGGTGTGACTCAAAAAGTCAAAAAAATCAAAAAGAAAAAAATGATCCAGCCACAGAAGTGTAACATGGGGGTAAGTTCTAGGCTGTATTGATTTAAGTTACGAACTTCCTCCAGGAAAGAGAGAGTTCTCCTAAGATTTACAGATAAGCCGCGGAGGCCCAGGGCAGGAGGGCCTGAGATGGCAGAGGGACCATGTGCTTGTGGGGAACTGCAGGGCTGTGGGGGCTCCCTTTTCCCCTCAGTAATCTGAGAAGCAACAAGCTAGACTCGCCAAGTTTTAGAGTTATTGGCTCAGCCAGTTCTTAGAGCCAAGGTCCTTTTACAGCTGCATTTGGTACACGGCCCCGGGAACACAGCGCTTGGTGTGACCTGTCCACCGCAGGCAGGATTCCTGTGCCTTAACCATTGCACTGCCAAGAGCTGACCCCGAAGATCCACCCCTGTAACCTCCAGCGTGGCTGTCCTAGTAACTCACACTGGCCCACCCCAGCCTGCTTACAGTGCCCTGCCCTCAGCTTCACTGCATGAGCTCCTGGAGGCTGGTCCAGGGCCTCTGGCTCACGCCGTTCTTTCCCACACAGCCCCGTATGGGCTGTTCCTTCGTGCTGAGCCTTCCGGGCCTGTGATCATCATCGCGTCTTGATCTTCCTGGGTAATCACCGTCCAATCCATAGAGGAACTCGGAGAGGTTCATGTGGGCGGTTGAGGGAGATGACGTTGAGAAGGAAAGCGAGCCCTCTCAGTGAAAGTAGAGAGAGAGTGTGGGGGAAATTGCCACAGAGGCAGAGGAGGAGTGGAACTGTGTGTGGGGGAATGGGGAGAGGGGTACTGGGGACATTGGCGGTGGGAAATGTACACTGGTGGAGGAAGGAGTGTTTGATCAATGTATGACTGATTCTCAACATAAAAGCTTTGTAGCTATCTCACGTGATTCTATTAAAAAAAATAAAGTTTTTTTTTTCACAGGACCCAAAAGAAGAGAGAGAGAACAAAAGGGAATGCCCTGCCACAGAGGCAGGGTGGGATGGGGGGGATGGGGCGTGGGAGGGATGCTGGGACCCGTGGTGGTGGAGGATGGGCACTGGTGGAGGGATGGGTACTTGATCATTGTATAACTGAAACCCAAGCACAAAAATTTGTAAGTCTATAACTGTACCTCGTGGTGTTTCACTAATAAAAAAAAATAAAGGTTTTAATATCAAACCACAATCGAGCTGGGCAGAGAAATAGCACAGGTTAAAACTCTTGCCTAGCGTATGGTTGGCTGTAGTTGGATCTGCAGCACAACCAGGGTTAATCCCTGAGTACTGCGGGATGTTGTCCAGCACTCCACCCCCCTCCCCCTAGAAAAAAGAAGGAAAAAACCCAAACCCCACAATACAGAGAGGATTTGACTCAGCTGAGTTTACTGGTCCACCTTCAAATGGATATTCTAATAATCACAAAAAGGAAGTGGAAAGAGGGTCAAGAGTGGGGAGTACACAGATTTCTCCAGAGGAACTGAAGATCCCCGCCTCCCCAACTCTCACTCTACCGGCTGCCTCCTCCTGGTTCCCAGGGAATTACTTTGCCCTGGAGAGAGGCAGCAGGAAGAGGACCTGGCGCGAGACTCGGTATTCAATCCCTGCTTGGCTAGGGGGGTGGTTTATTCGGGAAGTCCCCGATCTCACGGTGACGAAATGTCCTCCACGTGGAATATGTGTGAGGAGCTACACCTCGGCATGATGGGGGCGACGGGATGAGTCTATGTTTGTGCTGTGCACATGGATAACGCTACCTGTCCGCGGTGTGGCAGTGAATCTCATTAGCAGTTACGAGGGCGACCCAACATAGTCCCTCTGGAACCTGCGTGAAGACCTTGTCACCAAGGCCTCAAGTGCTGTAGAGAAACTGCCAACTGCAGGGTCTGCAGGCATGTGGAATAAAGTTGTTTCTATTATAATTATTACAAAAGTAACCATGAAGGTCGCTACAAAAAGAATAAGCTGGTGGAAAGAATCTACAGATTCCGTTGCTTGATTTATGACAAGGCTGATAATGAGAAAAGGGTTTTGTTTGTTTGTTTTGTTTTGTGTTTTTCCTCAACTGTCAGAACAGCTTGAGGCGAGTTCTGGTTCCCGGAGGGCAGCAGGGAAGGTCAGCCTGGCCTCTGCCCCTCTTGGGGGCTGCAGCTTTTTATCTAACAGTTCAAGTCTGTGTATCTGCTGACTGGAGGGGCTGTGACACAGGGACAGAACCTCTTCTCCGTCTTGACCCTCCTCTTGCACACACTCCAGCCCCCCGTGATACAGTGACCTGGGTTTACGTGCATCCTGTCGTCCCACCAGTACATATTAGATTGGTCTGTACGTGATGGACTAACTGAAATTCCCGTAAAGGTCACTCCTCTGTCGTGGCCTGAGATGCCCGCCTGACCATGGGACCAACCAGTTACGAGCAGCCTCCTCTCTTTCCTCCTCCTTCGACCCCTTCCTCTTTGCTACCTCCTTATTCTACCCCCCCTTCCTTGTTTCCTCCTGAATTGCCCCCTTCTTACTTCCTCTGCAACACAGCTGCTGACGGGATCTTTACCCCGACATCATGTGCAGAATCAGTGTCAGGTTGATGATGCCTGAGTGCAGATGGTTCTAAGCCTTCTAGAAGTTGATACAGAATGTATTCACGACTTAGACAGAGGCCCAGATTTCTCCCAAAAGAAAAATTGTGATGAAAGACATTGTTCAGTTTAACAATTTACAGGACATCTACTTAGATTTACATTAAAGTTATGAACCCTTGTCCATCAAAATATATCCTAAGAGGCTAACCTCTCTTGAGAAGAATCGTTTAATTAAAATAAAGCAAACTCTTTGCGGGCTGGAGCGCTAGCACAGTGGGTGGGGCGTTTGTTTGCTTTGCACGTGGCCGACCCGGGTTCGATTCCCAGCATCCCATAGGGTGCCCTGAGCACCGCCAGGAGTAATTCCTGAGTGCACAGCCAGGAGTTTACCCCTGTGTATCGACGGGTGTGATCCAAAAAGCAAACAAAAACAAAGCCCCCCAGCCCCCCCCCCCAAAACAAAACAAAACAAAAAACCCAGACTCTGGGGGTCAGTGAGTGGTGATGCTGAGAAAGGAGAGTCTGGAGCTAGAGCACCCGCTTCGAATGTATGAGGCCCTGGGTCCCTTTCACATACTCCCCCCCACCACACACACACACACACACACGCACGCACGCACACACGCACACACACCACAGAAGCACACTCACTCCAACTCCTCCCCTGGTCACCAAAAAGGGGCCAAAAAGGAAACAGTCAGAAGTGTTCAACCTTATCATCATGAAAGCGCACAATCAAAATGTACTACTGCAAACCACAAAATGACTGAGATTGAAACACTCTGGCCAAGTGGAGCCAAGACCGCTCACCTGTACTGCCGTGGAAGTGTCGGGGGTTATCTTAATGTGGGCCTTTAGTGGGCTCTAAGTTTCTGAGGAGCTGCAGTGGGTGTCCTCGATGCTGTGCGTTGACGCCGCGGTGACAGCAGATGGCAGTCGAGCACCAGAACGCTCTTGGCTTGAGGCCCTGCAGGTCGGTGCACTCACCGCTCTTCCTTCCACGGGGCTTCCTGGGCTGCTCCAGCGACTCACAGTGCTACTTGGTGTTGGGTCCCAAAGGAACTGATTCCGGCCGTGGAATGGGCCTTCCATCCATCCTAAAAGAGAGGCCTGCCTGTGTGTGTGTGTGTGTGTGTGTGTGTGTGTGTGTGTAGGCGGGGGTGAGGGGAGGGGTTATCTAATGATTATGGAATTTCCTTCCCTCATTTTATTTATTTATTTAATTTGGTTTTGGGTCACACCCAGCGATGCTCAGGACTTACTCTGCACCCAGGAATCTCTCCTGGATGTGCTCAGGGACAACATTGGATGCTGGGAATCGAACCCGGGTAGGTCACATGCAGGACAAGTGCCCTACCCACTGACTATTGCTCCAGGCCCCCCTTCCCGTCATTTTTTAATGAGATAGACATTTACATTGAAATCACTTTAAAATCAAATGTTTCTTGTATTAAACACAAACTCTCCAATTGGGACTTTATATATTTTCCCTATGTGTCATAATATACAATATTTCATCATGTGATACGTGGTGTGCTATGTTGTGTGTTTATGCCCTATTATTTTATTTTATTATTATTATTATTTTTGCTTTTTGGGTCACACCCAGCGATGCACAGGGGTTACTCCTAGCTCATGCACTCAGGAATTACTCCTGGCAGTGCTCTGGGGACCATATGGGACTCTGGGAATCGAACCTGGGTCGGCTGCGTGCAAGGCAAACGCCCTACCTGCTGTGCTATCACTCCAGCCCCAGCCCCTGTCCTGTTATTTTAATGTGGTAACTTTATGGATGCTCTTTTCAAGTAGGGGATCACCCTGGCGGTGCTGGTGGGGGAACCCGGGGCAATTTCAGGAGGAGTTCGGGGCCAGGTCACGGCTCACACACGCGCCTGCTCTATCCATGAGTGATGTGACAACACTGGGAGGTGCTGGCACTGTGCAACGGTGCGCGGACCCCATGTGTACTCGGATATCACGTGTCTCACCGGCATGAACGGTGCTGCCAGGCGGCCTGTGAGTTAATCGGCGTTTGGGCTTAATGAAGGGAAAAGTGAAGTCGGCTCAGGCTTCTGTTCACGGTCCAGTAGCTGCTGGAACTGGTTTTCCAAGGTTTTCTCTCCAGCAGAAAATTTGTAATTACGAGACTGCCCAGCCAGAGTCTCGAGGCCCTTTTGTTTTCCTTTGGGCACGTGAGAGAATCTCTCTGCTCCTCAGAGGAGTTTTCCCACACTGCCTCTCCTCCAGGGTCTCCATGTGGACCTTAAACACCTTGCCAGTGTTTATCCTGTGCTTGCAAATGCCGGGTGCTGAGTTCGAGGCTCAGAATAGGAAGGAGTCTACATTTCTGGAGCCTGTCGTTGAACAAAAAAGATAAGAATAAACTCAAGGGTAGTAAGCACTGTTCTTCGTTTCCCGTAACTGCTAGAGCAGGTTACCACAACTTGGTGGCTTGAAACCACACACATTACTTTTTTTTTTTTCTTTTTGGGTCACACCCGGCGATACACAGGGGTTACTCCTGGCTCATGCACTCAGGAATTACTCCTGGCAGTGCTCAGGGGACCATATGGGATACTGGGAATTGAACCCGGGTCGGGCCATGTGCAAGGCAAATGCCCTATCCGCTGAGCTATTGCTCCAGTCACAAAACCACACACATTTCTTGTCTGAGAATCCTGATGCCAGAATTCTCAAGTGGGTCTCCCTGGGCTAACTCCAGTTGTCAGTAGGTCGAGCCCGTTCCAGAATCTCAGGGGATGCCCCACTTTCTCACCTTTTCTGACTTCTAGGGTACGTCAGTGTTTCTTGGCCTTTAGTTTTTTCCCTGAGGTCTGCATTTAGTATCTTCCAACCTTTCTCTGAGTCTGACTTTCCTGCTTCCTCCTGTAATCTGTAAGAATTTCTGCTATTATATGGGCTCCAGCTGATAACTCTCACTTCAAGATCCTTATTTGTGTCTGCAGTATCTCTCTTATTGTGCGTTTGTGTGCACAGGTTCTGGGAATTAGGACATCGTTGGGAGGACTATTCTGCCTACCGCAACCACTAAGAGGAAATTGTACAATGCCTGATGAGTCCTACAGACAGATCTGTGAAAGCCTTATATTATCTATCATAATTGTGTGTGTGTGTGTGTGTGTGTGTGTGTGTGTGTGTGTGGTTTCTGGATTTGAACCCAGGGACTCAGACATGCTATCACCTGGCTTTTGAAGGGATAGACTAGCTGAGAGCAAGGATGAGCAAAAGTCCCCTGGGGTGTTGTTGGAGTGAAGACTTCTAGAAAGCAAGAACAGTAGGTGCAAAGGCTCTGGGGTGGGAGGGCTCTTAGCTCTGCAATTAACAGAAAAAAAAAAAAAACAACACTAGCTGGTCCTGAGGCCTATAGCTC